TGAGGGAAAGTAGAATAAAATGTTAATGTGATCAGCCATGGCTGAAGAATTAAAAATCGTAAATGACTGCATGACGTGTTTTAGCGAATGAGGTGTTCAAAAGGGGGTTAAAGAATGCCGATTTATTGAATACAGAATCTTAGTTCTTGAAAACTGCAATTTTTCCTTGAAAAACCCATGAAAAGTCCATGAAATTTGTTTGTCTGAAGCTATACGAACCATGGGTAGAGATCTTCGCGAAAAAAAAAAACAAAAAAAAAACAAGCCAAGCGAAAACAAGACGCACGCGATCTATGAAAGGGGCGGTGGTCCTGATCTCTCCCTAGCCCCCTCACATTTTTGGCATCACTTTGTTCTGCACGACGGCACTGTTAGGGAGCTTAGCAACAACTAAGGCGACGGCAACGGGGACGGCAACACAGCAATACGTTTAGAGTGGCAAATCAACCACTCTGTACATGCATCACGCTTTTTCGTACATTTCTTCGCCGTCACCTACAAGACTACGATATGAAACTTTTCTAATTTCACGTCAGTTTACTGATGGAGGACGTGAGCATGAGGCAACTGATTTCTTTTTTCTTCTTGTGAACTTATAATCAGCCCTTTAGAGTTTAATTCCTAAAAAATTACCAAAATATCATTACAGTCAATAGGGCAAATTAAAAGGGTTTGAGCGAGGCGATGTAGTTTGCAACAATGACTCTTTCGCTGCCATCGCCTTCATCTTTGCCCATTGGAGCCCGGAACAGCCTACCGTCTTAGGCCTCTCTGTGTTGTAGGGGAGGGGGGGGGGGGCAGGGGAGAGAAAGAAAAAGGGAGGGCGTGGGGCACGATGGGAAGGGAAAAGAGAAAAGTATCCCAATAAAAATAGAAAAAATCGAAAAATGGAAAGCGCACGGCGGACGATGGGAAGAGGGAAAAGGATGGAGCAGCTCTTCTCTCTTTCCTCTTCCCACCCTGCCCCGCGCGCTCTTTTTTCCCTTTCTCCAGCCTCTGTTTTAAGTTTTAGTATCGACGACAGCGACGGCAGCAAAAACGTCACTTTTAAACCGAATTCGCGTTTTTTCAAACTTTTTCAAGCTTAATCCAATTCGCTGAAAATGTCAAATTTCCCTGGAGTTGATTTCTTAACTGGGATCACACTCAAGTTTTGAAAGAGAAAAAAAATTCCTTGTCGCTTGTTTACGTCCTCCATAAAAGGTGAAATTAGGCATTTTCACGCCTTAGTCGTGTAGTGACGTCAAAGAAATGTACAAAAAAGTGTACTGCACGTGCAAAGTTGTTGTTTTGCTAATCAAACCAAGATTTTTTGACATTCTCGCTACGTCGCCGTCGTTGTTGCTCAAGCTTCCTTTAAAGAGGCCTCTGCGAAGGAGAATTGGCTACCAACGAAATTATGTACCACATATGAGAGCCAAGAGGTAAGGTGTCCCTGCTGCCGGTTGATGGATATCAAATGTAAATGTAAATATCATATTATCCACTCCACTCAGCGCTTTTCAGGGATAATTTACAACACTGGTTGGCGGACTTTGCCAGACTGCTTAAGGTGCAGTTTACAAGTAATGAAGGAATGAGTAATGATGACTCCATACATGAGTGTGAAAGTGAGATAGACCACTACACCTGGCACTCTGTGCCCTACTCTTTCGCAAAGAATTCAGCCGGGGAAAGCAGCGCATAAATGCTGTGGTTCGGGTGAATTTTCTCCTTGATTTGAACTCTGTATCTCTTTTTAGTTTGTTTTTTGGTATATAAATTAATGTTTAAAACAGACGAAGATAAAATGTACAAAATAGCACTAATCATATATGCCTAACAAACCTATTTTAAAAATATGTCTACGAAAAATGACATTTAGTTTCGATATTTACCTCGCGCATGGGTCACGCGGAGAAAGTCAAACCGCTGGACAAATTAAACGTCGACAGGCTTCCACACATTCGTTGAGTTCATCTGTCATACAGTCGACAAAACAATTATCTTCGCAGCTAATGGTATTTTTCGTGTTTGCCTCGCCTTGCTGAAGGGGTCCATCTGAGTTGAGATACACGAATCAGAACATATAAGTAGCTTTCACAATCTAATGTGCACAATTTAATTCAGGAGGGGGATTCATTTGCCAGGCCTACACAATTTCACGGTAGTTGTACTGGATGGCGCAGATAACACTGATTTCGTGCTAAAATGTCTGTGCCCATGCGAAAGTGCAACTCTTCGTACTGAGCATAAATAATTCACACAGTAGAGACCACCACTGCCGGCAAGCAGACAGATCACTTAGCTTTTTGAAAGGATTTGTCTAGAATGTACTAAATTTAACCAAACTATATCTATTTTTTGTTGCGTTCAGTGTTATCAATGCATGCATTCTGTACAACTGTTATAATTATTTTGTTTTAATGAAAAATTCTTACGGGAAAAAAAAGGCTCCTTCATATATATCCATGATTTGCATGACAAAACATTGAATACGAGTAAGGTGCAATAGATGTCAAAAACGTAACATGAAAAGCAGTCATAAAACGTGCAGGATAAAAGTCGATCGGTGTCAGTACGCGGACTAAATAAAATGCAAAAAATTTCCTTCATTAATTCATTTTTTACGGATTGCATATTTAAGCAGTTTTTGTTAAAGAAATGGGTTAAATTTTCAAGGAAGTCTCTTCATTTTCGAGCAAAGCCTGATTAATAATTTTTTAGTCCTGAGCGAGTTAAGAGATTTCAACGGATTTAAGACTAACTCGTAATGAATCTTTGGACTTAGCTTTCACAAATATTTTGCAACGCAAAAGTACCCACTGAAAATTTCTTACCTTGAATGAGCTCTTGATGGGAATTTTGAAGAAGTGTACAAATTAAAGCAAGGGACAGTAGTAATACTTCCAGTGTAGGTTTTAGGAGCATTTTAAGGAGTAAATGAGCTGTTTTTGACAATCAGGTTTCCCAGTTTTCAATTGCTTTTACACTAATAAAACGTAATGTATTTGTTTCGGTGACAACTGGGCAGGTAATGCCAATGGGATACGCGTGGTTGCTAAGGAGACCCACGGGCTTTTTTACGGAGTTAATGTTAGCCGCTTAGATTATTCATATATCATGGCAGGTTTTTTTTCCTGATCTAGCACGCAATATTAAAGCATGAGAACCCTGAAATTCAGCTCTGTTGCTACGGTAGTATCTGTTCGTCGATTTAAACCTCGTGAAAAAGATTTTGTCAGTTCGATTTACTTAGAGCTGATTACTGTTTTAAGAGGAAGCTAATTTTAATTAGCAATACTTTGGGAGTAAAATACAGGAAAAATGATATTATTGGGGGCGACAAGAGGAGCCCGCAAGCCTAATCTCCAGGCTGTTATTACGCATGCGTCCCATGTATGCACGTGACTCCGATGATCACTTTATACGGTTCTCCCGTCTCCAAAAGGAGGCGTTAAACTCTCGCGCTAAATACATTGACACTCAAGCAAAGTGCATTTTTTGAAGATTTGAATTTTAGTTTATTTAGGCGTTGTTTTGGTTCACGGCAGCCTGTTCCTTAACTAGGAACGGACCATCATGATAACAGTAATTGGGTCAGCAGAATTTACAGTCTTCAACGTCGACTTTTTTTCTAATATATTTTTCAAACGGATGTTCTTGTCAACACTTATTGTCACAACTTCTTCCTCTCGTGAATTAACAAAACTATTTTATCTTATATTGGTTGCTTTTTACAACATGAGTAAGGGTATTCGGCTGAAAGCGTGTATAGTGCTTGGTATTTTAGGTCGCGTGCTCTGTAAAGGTGAGTTACATGTTGTGTAGGAATTCCTGTCTCAATCAGCGACTTGTTATCGTAGAAAAAGCTTCGTTTTAATTTCCTCAATTCATACAGCCTGCCGCATCGTTCTTTTCATTCTGCCGACTTCTAATGAATTTTGAGCGTTGCTAGTTGCTTAAAGGAATCACTAAAAAGGAACTTCAGCGTCAATATCAGATGTTAAGTTAAACTTATCAGTCATCCAGTTTTTACCGGCCTTCGAAATATTTGAGTTTCATCTGTAAGGGAAACAATCTTTCATATTAAATAAGTAAAAAGTATAAAGCTCCTGGCCTATTTGATTCGCTAATTTTTCACGAAACTGCCATCATTATATGCCTTTATCAGTCAAGTATTGAACTAGATACCATGCATGTTCGTCTTTGCTCATTTCACCGAGTACTCTATACATCTTATCCCAAGGTTCGTTAAGGTATAAATGACGATTTTCGTCATACTCGAAGTATCAATAGGATTTCGCGCAATAAAAGGTTCATTGTTTACTTCTTCTTGTTTATCTTAGTGATTCTGGATAGATCTGTGAATCGCGCAGTGAAAATAATAGCTGTTTTAATAGATGAATTGTTTCTTCCTTGGTGATGAAAAAGAAATTCACAGCCATACACTGTAAGTGATCCATGCAGAACAAACATAAAAAAAAATTTATATTGCTTTCTATACTGCATGCTTTTTTGAAATTCAAGGATCGATCATAGTATTAAAGTAATGCTTGTCCATCCCAACGACCCCAGAAATCATTGCGCTGGTTAAAACTTGTACCCATTCCCCCAGGAGCTCCTCTGCATATCCCCTATAGTCTGGAGTGCAGGAAATTCAGCAAGTTTGATTGCGTCAGACGGTCCGAAGTCGGTCACTCACACCTGGGACCCGTTTCTCGAAAGTCCCGGTAACTTTTCCTCTCGGGTCCAAAATCAAATGTTCAAATCAAAATCTTAAGAATAAAAGCGACAAACCTGTCCAGTTTGTTTCATCAACTAATCTACTTTTCATGTTATCTGCAAAACTTGTAAGACTTGGATTTTCAGTCAAACAGCAACAGCTTTACGGGCCCTTAATTATCGGGACTTTCTCAAGAACCGGGCCCATGGACCGAATAACTGACCCAGACCGGCCTGCTTAACAGGCTCGTTCATCTGGTTAAAGTCTGGCAAAATGATATGATGATTTATGTTCTCTGCAAATTTTTGCGGTTCTGACTGCAGCTAACCCTGATGTAGACGAATGCAAAGAATACAGTGAGTTAAGTGACCCTGACCGGTCTATAACTAACTACGATGCCTACGATAAAAGATGCGACGGCAAATTAGAGATTGGTTGGTACAGATTCACAGGAAAAGCCGGGCAGATGATGCCAACCACATGCGTCGCCAAATTTCACTGTGGTGCTTACGGCCCAGGTTGGCTGAACGGCGACCATCCAATGCCCCAGGATGGGAGGGTAAAAAGCAGAGTGTGTTTTCACCTAGAGGGGGAATGTTGCAAGGAGAAGATCAGTATTCAAGTGAGGAATTGCGGGAAATTTATGGTGTACTTTTTGCCACCTGCGCCAAGATGTCCTTTGAAATATTGTGGAAGTAAAGTTGAGGATGGTAAGTTTGGTAGATTTTTCACTCGATCGTTTGTCTGAAAAACCTGTGTACAGATGTTTTACTGGGGTCTCATGAGAGGAACTGTGGACACAAGCGGGTTACCTGCGAGCCAGGCGTGGATAGGGAGAGGAGTAGAGGCAGCTTTCTGTCCGGCTTTCCCCGCCCAGTCTTACGCAGCTTGCTCGCCCGTGCTTGTGATTTCCAAATGGGGATTTATCCCGACATTCCCAAATATTGAGATCATACGTAAATAATTACTAACACTGGACGAAAAAACGGATTTACTAATGTTTGCGAAAGGTGCAAATATGTGGTAAATTTGGAGCTCCAAATTTGCATTACATTTGCGCTGTCGGCTAAAGTGTGGGCAAATACATATATTTGCTAGATAGGTATTGATACGCAAAAGTGAAGTAAATGTAATGGTTTGATACAAATTTGATACATATTTGCAGCATGGGCAAATCTTCAACATTTCTACCAGTTTACTCAAATTTACATCCTTGGCAAAAATGACAGTTTTCACTTTACTTCAAATGCAGGCAAAATATTGCAAAACCCCTAATTTGCAGTGGTATTTGCTCTTGTTTTTCCAGGATACCAAAAGAACACTTTTGCATGTGGTTTACTCGTATTTGCCTTAAGAGCAAAAAATAATAAATTTCTAGACATTTGGCTGTATCATAAATTTGCACATTTGCATCATAATTATCCATATTTGCAAGGGGAGCAAATATAGTGAGCTGCATAACATTTGCTGACAGTCAAAGGTGATGTGCATGTGACATTTCCTATATGTTTGATCCGTTTTGTGACTAAAGTAAATTTCCAATCTCAACTGTAACATTACATTGTTACAATAAAATTTTGTACACGCTGTGAGACTCCGCCCAGAGATCCAACCCCTTACATGCATCTTTCCTGTTAACTGTTTTATGTGCACTGTCATTTTAATATAAAGGAATCAGAAACCAGTTAAGTTTTTTGACAATTTTACATTCACAAATTTCTTCTGTTAGTCTTTTTACAGAACGAAATGACAGATAGTCTACCCTGTCATATACTTTAACTCAGGAAATCCCTATCCTTTCATACCTGAAGCATGAAAAAGGTGTCCCTTTCTGACAGCGCCCCTGGCATAAACCTTTCCCGGGCTACTAATTTAAAGCAAATACACTAATTCAAATCCACTCGTTATTAAGGTCCAGTAGTCAGATCATTGATGCACTGTATTTCCTACAGTCAGGGCCATAGCCAGTATGAGGCAAACCGAGGCACTTGCCTCTGTCATTTAAGGTTTGATCCTGGCAGTGTTTGGTTTCAACGTAGCCATTATAAAGACCCTGAATAGCTAGGCGGGGGATTCAACCATGGATATTGCCTCAGTCCTTATTTTTTTCTGTCTACGGCCCTTGAACTTGGGATACAAGGAGGATCTACAGGAGCTACCGGTCGAATTGTCAAATCCTACCTGACAAAGCCCCATAAACAATGAACAGACCTTTATTGGGTTACAGGATCACAGGAGCTCTGAGTTGGCCTTAGATCATGAAAAGTCTAGAGCTATAAAGAAAAAACTAAGGTGGTGAAACAAATTAACATGCAGCCTTTAAACTTCTGGACTGGACTGGGTTGGTCAAAGATGGGTTAAGATAACACAAGGTTAGGTCCAGTGGTCAGATCATTTACTGTATTTTTTGTACATCATACTAAAAAATCAAATTTGGTCCGAAATAAAAAGTTTTGTGGATTTCAAACTCAGTGTTGTGATTATTCACTTGTACATAATTTCCTCATGGCCATTTAACCAACAAACTTAATTCAATTTAAAACCAACAATTTTAGTTTAACCAGTATTTGTTGTAGTTTTGACTGCTTACCTAGAGATGACCACATCTCGATGGCCGGCTTCCTAAAAATGACCACATTTTGAAAACCCAACAGCCAATACTACAACAAAATATGGTGAAACTGCTCACAATTTTATTTGAACATTGTCTCAGCTGACAAATTTATGAAAGGCTAATTTTTCTTACTTTGTTGTTTGCAACCCTGAGTTTGAGTTTCATTGATTTTAATGTTGATTTTGAGTCTCACTGTTCATTAAGTACTACCTATTCAATCCAAAAAAGTCATAGCATTTTTGCTGGCTAGAATTCACCTGAAGCCTGGTAATTTGCTTGGGATACAAGGAGGATCTACAGGAGCTACCGGTCGAATGGTCAAATCCTACCTGAAAGGCCCCCCCCCCTTCCCCCCTGCACAATAAACAATGCACAGATCTTTATTGGATTACAGGAGCTCTGATTTGGCATTGGATCATGAAAAGTCTAGAGCTATAAAGAAAAAACTAAGGTAGTGAAACAAATTAACATGCAGCATTTATCCTTCTGGACTGGGTTTGCTCAAAGATGGGTTAAGATAACACAAGGTTATAGGTCCAGTAGTCAGATCATTTACTGTATTTTTTGTACATCATACTTGTGGATTTCAAACTCAGTGTTGTGATTATTCACTTGTACATAATTTCCTCATGGCCATTTAACCAACAAACTTAATTCAATTTAAAACCAACAATTTTAGTTTAACCGGTATTTGTTGTAGTTTTGACTGCCCACCTAGAGATGACCACATCTCGATGGCCGGCTTCCTAAAAATGACCACATTTTGAAAACCCAACAGCCAATACTACAACAAAATATGGTGAAACTGCTCACAATTTTATTTGAACATTAACTCAGCTGACAAATTTATGAAAGGCTAATTTTTCTTACTTTGTTGTTTGCAACCCTGAGTTTGAGTCTCACTGTTCATTAAGTACTACCTATTCAATCCAAAAAAAGGCATAGCATTTTTGCTGGCTAAAATTCACCTGAATCCTGGTTATTTGATCTTAAGATACAAGGAGCAGGGTTGTGGCTTCCCCAAAAAATTCTGATGAAGAGAGGGTCTTCATATACAGGAGCTACCGGTCAAATCCCACCCAACAAAGCCCCCCCGCCTCCTTAAAAAATGAACAGACCCCTACTGGCCCGTTACAGGAGCTCTGAGTTGGCCTTGGATCATGAAAAGTTATAAGCTATAAAGAAAAAACTAAGGTGGTGAAACAAATTAACATGCAGCATTTATCCTTCCAGGCTGGGTTGTTTAAAGCTGGGTTAAGATAACCCAAGGTTAGTACGAAATATGAATTCAGATATGAAAGTTTTAAAAACAAATTCATTTGAATTCCTTTTGTCTACAATTTGGTGATTTGATACTTAAAAAAAAAGGGAAAATTATCTGACAAAATGCTTTTGATTAAAAGGAAAAAGAAACGCAGGTTAAAATCTAACACTGGGTTAGTGCTAATCGGTCTTTGGAACAACTGGGCCCCGGTCTTTTTTTGGGTCCAATTCTAAATCACATAACCACTTCGAAGTGAGTCAATGGTACATAACCTGGGCATGTGTTACATTCCCCTTCTGTCATTTGATAATAGTAAAGCCTTGGGTCGCACAATGGGCAGGGATCTCCAATTACTAAAACTAAAAATTCAAAATGACACAGTAACTGTTGTATACAGTTACAGAGGGCCCACACTACCTCCCCTTTACATTAAGTAAATACACTACAACAAATCTACTGGACAAAGGTCCAGTAGTCAGATCATTTACTGTATTTTTTCTACATCATAATATTATTATTAAAAAGCTAACAATAACAAGGCCACCCACAGTACCTTAAATTTGGTAAAAAAAAAAAAAAAAAAAAAGGTTCTGTGCATTTCAAAGTCAGGGTTGAGATTATTCACTTGTACACAATTTCCTCATGGCCATTTATTCAAGAAACTTCACATTAAAACTGACAATTTTGTTCTTACCGCTATTTGTTCTAGTTTTCACTGACTATACCTAGAGATGACCACATCTTGATGGTAAGCCTCCTAAAAATGACCACATTTTGAAAGCCCAACAGCCAATACTACAACGAATGGTGAAATTGCTTTGTATTTCATATCATTTGTGAATAGAAACTCAGCACAGACATGAATGAATAATTTCTTTGCTGCTCTTTACAACCCTGATTTTGAGTTCAATATGATTTGTCTTTTAAACTGCTCAAACAGACTGGCGAGATTTATATCAGCCTTCACTCAACAACAATAACATCAGGTGCATTTCTTCACTTAAACCTAAACTTCTTAGACCAACGGGGTTTACACCATCAATATTATTATACCCTTTTACTAAATGAGCCGAATTTTAATAGATTTATTTAGAAAAGGAATTCACACAGTAAGATGACTTTTTGATTTTCCTTTTTAAATAGGAATATGATATTTTATAATTGCTGGACAAAAAAAAGGTTCCAGCTAAAAATTTGTTTTGAACAGTGACAGTAAATCTCAACTTTGGATCTGTCTGAAGGCATTTTCTTTGCCCTTCCACAAAATCACTTTGTACTTTCACTTTGCCAGAAACTTTTGCCATGACTTAGTAACGCCAAGTGAAAACATAATATCTGAGGCATATTTCTTAAGCTATATGTCAGTGCTAGTGAGCAGTCATGGACTGCTGTTTTGAAGGGGCATCCGATAGCAAGATAGCCTTTCCAAAATCAATGAGCATTGGGTGGTACATATTGTTTACCTCTGTAAGAATAATGTTGTCACTCTTTATATCTCTGTGGGGAAACCTGTATGAGTGCAAATGTTCTATAGCTTCACACAATTTCAGTACATTATGTTTCCGCAGAACACTGTGAAAGGGACATGGATTTCCTTAGCAGGGCACCGCACAAAGAACAAGAAAAATAATATTGTAAAGATGGTAAAAATATAACCCAAGGAAGTACACGTGAGGTTTCTGTTTTGTGACATTTACCCCAAACAGATGGGGTATTGATGGATGAGAGCATTCAGTATATAAGCTTCAATTCTGTCATCTTGTGAAGAGGAAAAAATGATTACTGTAAACAAATTGAGACCCACTGGAATACCCCTGTAGCATTTCTTCATGCACAGACCACAAACAGCTTCCCCATGCTGAACCTGTATTTCACTGACCTCTTTATCTTTTGGAGAGTTCAGGTGATGCAACTCAATTTCAAGAACATTGGAAATAACTCCTGTACCACTCAAGGAAGAATCTGAAACAAATACATAAAAAAGTCACTAAACCCACTAAAAATAACTGTTAACTCTACCTTTATTGATAATATTGTGAAATTAAATGAATTATGTTACTTGTGTTGCCATTATCTTTATGAACATTATAAATACACATGTGGCACATTTTAGCATTTTTGACCTTTTGACTCAGCTTACATGTATCATTATAAACTATTATAAACAAAACAACCTTGTATATGAAAACATGACAAAACAAAACAGAAAAAAAATGACAGTATCGCATATAAAATAAAGGCTCCACCTACCCTGTCAAAATCAATGGTACATGTACAGGTATTACGCTCAATATGTCAATATAGCGCCAGAGGTAGTATAAATTACTCAAGCAATTAATCTTGAGCTACTTCTGCCAAATACCAATAAATTAGCATTTTAACATTGCATAACTACATATTTTGCTGACTTAACACCACTTAAATTTTTCAACAATGCTTTTTTCAGCTGGATCACTACCATACGCACGCGACACGCGTGCTCATACATGCTACAAATGTAAATATGGATGCAAATGTAGTTTATTCCCGGTTATAACATAGATGTGGCAGTAGAAGCACGATATACAAAGCAAAATACATCGACTTTACCTTTTAAATTTCGAATATCCTTGAGAAGAAATCCAGCAACATAGGCAATCTCTTCTCCCGCCAAATCGCCAAAAGACCGCGCGCCCGATTTCCCAAGCATTTGCGCCTCAGTGGTGCTGGTCAGCGGCAGTCTGCATAACCGTTCGAGAACGAGGCACAACAATTGAAATTCGTCGACCGTTAACACGTTCCACTGCCATCGATTTGCCATCAGCTTTTACTTCGTACGTTTAACGCCATATTTATCAAGAGGTTTCGAATTTTTCTTCTTTGTGGGGTTGACTGTCGAGTATGGAGGAATCGGCCAGTCTTATTTGTTCGAATTTATCGAACGAATGTATCCTCGAAGAACTTATAAAAATAATCGCTCGAACTCGAGGGAACTGCATACTTATAGATCCTTCGACGAAAATCCACCATGAAAGGCATCTAGATAGCTCCATCGGCGACGATCAAGTAGTAACGAGTGGATCCAAGAAAAGCAGCCGTTAGTACTTAGTAAATAGACTTCGGTGAATCGATGCTGTTTTAATTAGCAGACATTGTAAAACTAAGAGGCAGGAGAAATGTTGAGGACAAACAAATGCTGAGGGAGCAACTAATCGGGAGTAAAAGAAATGCTCAGTAAGTATAAGAAAGTTCGTTGTTACTGTTAAGCCATTAATGATGCTATTTGATAATACCTACATTTGCATTCCAATATTCAGTAATCAACAAGGACCACCCCTACTTCTGAAACTTTATTTGTCCTGTTGTTGTAAAAAATACTGTAATCTTTTGTTTGGTTGTTCTCTTCAGATAAATGGTCTTAGAAAATTTAATAAGAATTGAAGCAAGTGTTAATTCCCCTCTATGAGGCCAAAATTAACCTTATCCTCTAGTGCCTACTTTCTCCAAAGGCTTTTCCAAAATTTAAAAGGGGAGTAAAGGCAGTGACTGCCATGGTGCTGAAAACATAGTGTAGCTAGAATTTAGATCATGGTACCCTGCTTTCACTGATTGTTTTTATGATCACCCCATGTAAGGGATTCTGGAATCCGGGAAATTTTTGCTTATGGAATCCAGAATTCGGGCAATTTTTGTCGCGGAATCCTAAATTCTGAGCTTTGAAACCTGAAATACAAGTCAAACGATTGGAATCCAGAAACCAAGTAATCCACTGAAAAAGGTTCCGAATCCGCAGCGTGGAATCCAGAATCTAAAACTGTCTTGGATTCCCTCATATGAGGCAATTATAGTATAATTAAACTTTTGTTCCCAAGATACACTGTAAGTGATGGCAATATTGCAGAAGAAGCAGGTTCATGAAGTTTTAAGTAATATGTCAATAATGTTGTTATGGTAGTGATGTAGTGGGACACTCACTATAAAATTAATACAATGATTTACCTGGAGTCAATTGTCTTGTTACAAAAGGGTTTCTCGCATTCATTTTTTCGTTTTGTTTTTGCTCAAAGAAGGTCTTAGTTTTAAAGGGACTGGTTCACGATAATGCGCATGTGTGAGTTCTAACAGTAGCTGATTGTTTTTCAACCAATCGGAAGCGAGTTAGATGCATGCAAGTAAATTTACAAAATTCAAATTAATTGTTCGCGACACGAGAGTATTCCGCGCATTTGGTTTGATTTTATTTATCCCCATAATTCAAGTTTATTCTTTGCTACTCCTCAGATATATGATGCAGCCGATAAGAATAAGACCTACAGCCCTGTCCTGCTTTGAAACAAACATTTACCAACGTGTATTTTTACGAGGTCGTACCCACGCTAACAAAGCAGTCACCGATCGGCAAACAAAATTTGTAAACAAACATCTTATTACTGCTCTCTCAGTTCGCCTTATATAAATCCAGAAATACCTACAAACAGCACCTGACAGGTGACAAAAACGTACAACGTATGAGTATAAAGATTATCCTTAATTGAGTATAAATTTCAAATGCTTATCAGCAAACGAACAAATTCATTCGCGTTGCATCGGGTCAGTGTTCCGCAAAACAAATGTTATCGAGTAGCACACATAAAGAAACTAGATTATAAACAGAATACTCAGGCAATAATTTATTTCAAAAACATCAATTCTTAAACATATACGATCGTAAAGCAAAGATACAAGGAACATTTCAAGTGTACCAGATCGGTGAAGATCGCGCGGCCTGTTGCGGTATAACTACAGGTCGGAGTCAAAAATCAAATCAAAGTTGAACGAACTCGTGCCTTTAACCACTTTCCAAGTGTCGTGTATACTTTACGTAAGCCACACACTACTACTAGAACCATACCAGATCGATAGGCTAAGCTTCTCTATCTCCAAAGACTCTTGAGAACGTCCTGTTGCCGGACGGCCACGATGCTCTTCTGAACCTCCATGATCAAAACATTATTTTTTGCGTCTTCTTAAAACGCAACCAGTCAAACGACACAACCACACGTTAATCAACACTACTGAAGTATAACTAGAGCAGCCAAAGCGACGGATGTCCGAATAAAACGAAGGATTTTCAGTGATTGTACCGGTAATGGCGATTTCGAATTTAGTGTTGACCCAACAAATTTATTCTAAAGAGACAAACGGCGCGCATGCGCATTATCATGAACCAGTCCCTTTAACAGGTACAGTGTAATCAGGATTATGATGACCGCTTGGGGTTAGATTTGAGACATGAAAGTTACGAGCCAGCAATTTGTTTAAACTAGTTAATTTTGATATCAGTTAACTCAGGCAATAAGTAAGTTTAGTCACCTAGTGTGACTGCAGCCAGTAATAATACATGTAATATCTAATAGCAACCTTTTTTGCTATAAAAGGCTAGAATATTTAGACAGAAAAGGACAATAGTATTTTTCATGACAAGCATCTACAGCTTTAGTTTCAATATTAATGGTCTCAATTATGTATAATTTCTGTTTGTTGCAGAAAAAGCTGAAGAGACAACCCTTTTCCAGTCAACCTCTATTTCGAAGAAGGATTGTTGTAAGTTCAAAGCTTGTATAATTGTGGAGTACATGTCTTCAGAGCAAGGCAATACAGACCAAGGAGATGACAAATCCGAGAAAAGTGCTTTGCAGGAGGCCTCTAGCATGGAGGAGTCAACAACTTAGCCTGTAAAAACCTCTTTGCCATAGCTGAACAGTAAAGCAAAATTAAAACAGTCACATGTAAGCTTGTCATTACTCAATGACAATAGAAAGGACGAATGGCTTCTCCTCAGAGCAGGAGGCACCAGAGATAATGCTCCTGAATTTGCTTTGTGATAAGGAAATATAAGTTAATCCAAGGCTCTTAAAGAAATTCCAGATTATTTATGACTGGTCATACTTACAGGTACATGTACATGTAGTTCTGCAAATACAGTAATCCTTTAATCACTCTCTGTTTATGACACTGTTGTTTAGAAAAAGATAAATCTGTGTAAACAGTACAAATCCTGATGGTGTTGATTTGTCCTGAGAATTCTGGTGGCAGGTAGATCAAATTGGTTGATGTGATAAATTTTTCATTAGAATCCTTTGGCTATTGTTTGCAAGTAATGTACCAGTCAGCAGGTTAAAAAGGCCAATTAATGTACAAATGTTTCTTTTAAATCTGTTTGCTTAACTGCAGGCATTTGAGTTCTGCTGGCAACACTTCACAGTACATTTGTACCGATTACAGCAATTACAATTGACCTGCTTGAACAAAAAAAACAAAACAAATTTAGGTACACCCTGCTTTTTGTCATGATTTGTTACGAATTTTGCAAAGGATTGCAACATGACTCAAGAAAAAGAGTAATGAGAGACAGCAGTGTAGTTATTTTGCAGGCTAGCCAGATCAACCTTTTGTACTACATGTACATGTATACTGAGTTTAAAATAATTATTAGCTTCTTTCATTGGGAGCAACTACAGTGACAATGGTAATGTTGACATGCTGTGGAATACTTATAGCTGGTCATTACTTTCATGACCCTCAATTTTCTTAGAACGGGGCAAGTACTAGAAGCTCCGGCTGGTACTTCCTCTAAGAGCATATCCAATACTATACAGGAACCATTAGCAACGAAAATGAAGTTAAAGAAGTCTGATCTGAATTTGAATAGCTGTATGTACCTAAACTATTTCTTAGTTTGCTAAATGCTATAACCCAGTTGTTATACCAGCAAAAATTGTACATTGGTAGCAAGAATTAGGCCTTTCATTTTAATAGAGCCTAAAGAAAAAAAATGCCACCAGAATCAAATTTTGTTTAATCTGTAAATAGCAATAAATACAAAAATACTAATTATTTATTAAAATGGGTGTCTTGAGGGTTCCATTTAGTTGAAACAGGATTTGGTCCTTAGATACAAAAGTTTAAGTAAGAAATAGTCTTGTCATAAGTAAATATTGGTCCAAGGCTGAAAGGATTTTTAACCTGTTTCTGAGTTGCAAAACCTAAAGAACTGAAACAGGTTTGAGGCAACTCTGAAACACCTACAGCTGTATGTAGAATATCTTACACATTTAGATGAAGAACACTTTTCTTATAATATTAATAGTTAGTAATGATCTGATAGAGCATAGAGTGGAGACAAGTAAACATCAACGAACAGTAAAATTGGGAATTAATATGAAGAGCTGTATGTACAGCTTTATACTGTAGTTTGTAATGTCTGTAATAATGTGTAAGCCACTTTAGTTTATGGAATAAATCATTTAAACATTAATGGGAGGTCACTGCTAGAATTTCTTTCAGTAACTTTAATGTTTGATTAATTATGGCCACTTGTTAAGAACCTGAAGTGAGCCATATTATAATTACAAATATTTTTAAAATTTTATCGCATTTGCTACAACCCAAGCAAACTCGTTTAAACCTTGGAATTTACATTTGCTACTGGAGAAAACGTGCTCAATTTTATGGGTTTGATGACATTTGCTAACCAAATTAAAGTCAGAATTTGATTACATTTGCTACCTGAGCGAAAAATTGTACAATACTAACAGTTTGATCAGATTTGCTGCCCAAGCAACTTTGTTCAAAACTTGACTTTTGACCACATTTGCCGCTACAAGCAAAATTTTGTGTTTGATCAAATTTGCACACCCTAGAAAATTTGTTCAAAGTTTAGGTTTGCTAACATTTGCTTCGTGAGCAAACATGTTTAATACAAAGAGTTTGGTTACATTCGCCATGCAAAGCAATCTGGTTCAATTATGAAAATTTGATCACCCATGATAACCCAAGCAAACATTGTTCAAATTAGATACTTCGCTCACATTTGCAAAGCTGCGTAAACGTTCTGAAAATAACAGGTTTACATGCTTTTACATCTAAAGCAAAAGCTGTGCAAAACAGCAGATTTGCGCTATCATTTGCGTAATGTGCAAATATAGTTCAAAGAAACATATTTGCCTACACATTTGAACCATCTGCAAATGACCCTCAAATCCATGGCTGCCCATTATCTTTGCACCAAGATGTAAATGTTGTGCAAATGTGGCATTTACCGTCATTGCTACGGATAGCAAATCTAGTGCAATATCAGTCTTTGCTCTTGCGCAAAATTGTGCAAATGTGGTATTTGCTACACATTTGCTGTAATTTGGCTACCCTAGTAAATCCATTTTTTCGTCCAGTGTAAAGAACGGTTTTCACTAGCGCAGAACCATAAGTATAAGGGCATACGCACGCGCAGAATGGCATATTTGAGCCTCCAAGGTTGTGAAAAATGACCATATTTTGAGGACCTTCAACCAAACCAACGTTTGAGCATTTGCACGGCATTACACATAATACACTATTGTCGTCATTTTATTGGATAGCGCAAACGTCTTCCAACTTTGGTCAACACTATCTGGATGTGAAGAATTGGCTGGGGGATCTGGGCCAATCAGAAAAGGAGAATATTTTGGATAAATAATAATGATGTTTATTGAGACGGGCTGTTTGGTGACTCTAATCTTACTCGATGATTTTGTTCCAGTTCCCCGTGAATGCAAAAGCTACGGCGTTTTAAATGAAACCGACAGAGCGCGAGGATTTTATAATCCGTTCCTGTCCCTCACCGACGCAGGACTTACTCCTGGATGGCACAGATTCATGGGAAAAGCGGGTATCAATCAATTTAACATTCTTGTCTGATCATCATCATCATCATCATCATCGTCACATCGTTGTCATCACCATCACTATCACCTTTTGTAGAATAAAAATTATATAGAGTATGAAAATGCGAAAGTTTTTTTATCCTCAAAAAGAGGAATACTTAGGGCAACCAGTCCCCTTTATGTTCTGTATAGAGTGTTTTCACATGACGTCACCGCGGCCATTGGTGTCCCAAAACAATGAAACGGCGGCCATGTTGGTGTCCCATGAAACTAATCCTGTTGGAGTTGAGTTCTTTTTTAATGCAAATGCTTTCTTTTGTTCCAATAAATTCGTGTAGATACTGGCCACGTGAGTGAAAACACTCTATATAAATAGTGCGAAAGTTCGCAAAGTTCATATTTCAATCCCCACCTTTGTTTGTTTTTTTCTTCAGTACTTACATGTTAGTGTTAAATATTTGTTAGGATCGCGGATGTCACATAAATGCGCCAAGTTATTTCACTGTGGTACACACGCACCCGGGTGGCTCAGAGGTGCTCATCCTCTGATAACTGAGGGTGTAGTAATGAGACAAGTATGCTTTCATTGGAACGGCGACTGTTGTTATTTCAAGCAACAAATACCAGTGCGAAACTGTGAGGATTTCTACGTCTACGAGCTTCCTGGAACAGAGAAAAGCTTTCTGCGATACTGTGGCAATTCAAAAAAGCACCATCATCTTGAACTTTAGCGAACGAAAACTAAGTAAGCTGCAAAAAACTCAGTACTATCAGCTTATTTACTGATCAGCAACCCATTTACTTTTGATTAATGGTTTTTGGCTGGGGATGTGAAAAAAAAAACAGCCTGAGAAAACAGGCAACATTTCGCGATTTCCCCGCGAAATAACGTTTGAGGAACAAGCGCAGAAATTCCATGCTGACGACGCATCACTACCCGGATCTAGGTAGTGCTTCTGATTGGGCTAAGTGACGCGTCATTAATATGGAATTTCTGCGCTTGTTTCGCGGGGAAACCATTAGAGGCGCCGCCAAACGTTGGCTGTTTTCTCGGGCTTAAAACAAACCAGATAAAAAAACAAACAAAAAGAACATTTAATATTTAACAGATAAGGGTTAGGCTTTTTCTATTTACCTATTGCAAGTTTTTCCGGGTTGTTCCGGAGTTCTGGGGTTTAATTAGTACTTGCCAAAAAGGTTCAAAATCCGCGTTTCTAATCCGAAGTGACTACAGCGTACAACAGTACGATAAAATGTTCAAGTTTTATTGAAATAAATACATCTTGATTTAAACAATTCAACTTTACAAGACGGAGAATAATAACACCGTAAAACTGCAGTGAAAGTATGGTATTTATTATTAGGACCATGTATTAAACTGTCAATTAAGTACAATTATTTATTAATTGATTATTATCATTAGATTGGATTGGGAAGAAAACTATACCAAGGCTTTCACCAAGTGTGTGTGGAGTCGTCTACACAGATAAAAGAAAATGAACCTAAGCTAAAACATATATATCCTTGATCACTCATTTATTTTGATTTTGCTCGTCACCAAAATAGAAAGAAGACAGATTAATGTAATCACGACAACAAAAGAAAATCATCGTTTATAAAAGCACCTACAAATGTAATCAACCATAAATTCCCACTTATGTCAGGAGCGTCTCTCACATTGAAAAAAAAATGTCCTGCTAAAGCCGAGGATTTAAACAGAATTTTTTTCGGAAACTTTACATATTTCTTAACCGACTTTTTACATTTCTGCTATTTTCGAATGCGTTAATTTTTTGCATCGTAAGTTGTAATGGAAGACACATGGCCAGTTGCGATCATTAGCGTACAGCTTCCTGGGAAATGTGCAGTACGAAGAGAATTCTTGACTACTTCGTTCTTGGCTTCTCAGCCTTCTTCAGTTTTCCAAAAATGCGTTTTTAAGGAAAGAGTTAATCTTGCTCACAGCTGACGATGTAACTGAAGAAAAGAAAACAGAGTTTATACGCAGTTAGTTGGCGATCGATCGATACCAGGGTGAAGTAGATGTTGCGGTATTGTTCACTTGTATTCCCTTTCTTTTGGAGTATGGTAATTTATGCTAATGAACTTGAAACAAAGGAACACAAAAATTAATTTTGAACGCCCGTAGGACGTGTATGGCGAGAAAGTTTTCAGCCTCGTTTCAGACGTTTGGTTTGACTGCTCGCGTGTACTTGAATTTACGCAAAAATACGGACTATTTTGCAGTCTAGTAAGTGACTCTTCACTTGCTGAAGCCTTAAAACAGGCTACTCCCCTCCGCATGGCACTTTTCCTGGCGGGTGGCGATTTCCCGCGTTTTAGCTCACAATACGACGTTTCGTGGTACTCACACTAGAAGCAAGAAACCGCAGTTCCGTCAGTTAGTATTGCGCAGTTGTTTAACATACCCTTTGTTTTTGATGACACCACGACATTTGACAAGTACAGAGTATCTCAGAGCCCACACTGGCTTCCATCCCTGGACATCTACATCTTTACAGCTCTCAGTGAGTGCTCCTTCGAGGCTTTCCTTTGTCAATATATCTGAAGTGGAAAATCACGTACAGTGTACTTAAACGTCAGTTTTCATAAGGTCCATAAGAAAGACAAAAACTAAAAACAGGATCTTGTTCTAGGAAAATGGCTGTACATTACAGAAATTGTTTTCTTTTATCCCTGCACAAAGAGTATTGCATTCATGATAAATCAGAGCAGTGTTTACAGTATGCCGTTAGAAAAGAGTTAGGGGAGGTTAAGGGAGGGGAGGGGGAGAGGCTATGTTTTGTCTTTGTGCTCTTTGTCTCTGGTTAGTTACCCCTAGATGAAAATGAAACAACCGTTTCTGAGGGTACTCATTATTTACCTTTTGGATCAGCATGTGTCAGCAGTTGAATGTCATGCTTCTCACTGAATGCTACAAGATCCTGAAAAAATAAATGAAAAATAACTTTAAAACTTTAAAAACTCAAATTCAAATTCAAGGTAAATAAATTTAGAGAACTTTCCTAAGGGAAGACATTTATACTTTGTCATATATATTATTACACTGGCATATAAAAAGTAGCTTCTACAGGCAACAGCCCATTCCCATACAAAAAAGGAAAAGAAAAGAAAACATTGACAAGAAAATGGTGGCACTGGGAAGTTACCGGTATAATATCAGAAGGATGGGGCATGCAAAGGAATACATCGTGTGTCCCCCTCACATGCCTTGTTCTCTCTGTTGCACCCATATTATGCAAGCGCTTGCTACATAGGCTAGTGTTACACTTATCACTTTAATGCAGCCAGTGGCTGAATTGCAAAAGAACCAGATTTGAGATTGGACCTCAACAGGTTCACCCACAAACCACTCTAAGCAACCTCAAAAGGAAAAATGCAGCACTATTAGTTTAACATGTTCACCTGACCTGTAGCAATTTAAGTCAATCATAACATTATAAATTACCTTTGGCATCACGCAACACGAAGCAAGATTGACTTGGTTGATCCCAGGCTTGATCTGCAAGGAATTATTTGCAAAAATCAGTGCAATACGTTAAACATAGGTTATTCATGTACATGAACATTTAGAGGTGAAATGCTGCCGATCAGAAACAAAATCAAAACTAAATAAGTAATAACCATAAAATGAGATAAACTGAAAAAAGATAATAACGTACCCTTGCTGACTGATAAAGTTTTTCTAGCGTTGGCTTGTCCAGGTCACAAACTCCTAGATCTTTGATATATCCGCTGTCTGATAGAAACTCCATTTCCTAAAAGTTTGGACAGCACAGTTTGTAAATAAGACCTTCAGTCATTTAATTTGACTGATGAAGAGGACGAAATAACATTGAAATAACCTCAAACTATTTCAGATCAAATTATCTTTGCTCTAAGAAAGAGATATTTCTTAATAAATTTATTTGTGTAGTCACTGAGGATAGCATTTCAAAGTGGATAAAGCAGTTTTTTAGAACACTTCCAAATGTAACTTACATTTAAAAAAAAATCACTATTGGGTGTTATAATCATGCAGTTTTAACAACAAGGTAAAAAGAGTTAAACGTACCTCCCAGAAGCCCTTCAGAACTTCAAAAGCATCTTCACCAGACATCTCTGGCAATGCTAAGAACAAGGTTTCCACAGACTCCACCCCAAGCTCACACATTGCTAGTAAGAGGGGAAACAAATTTGAAAACATTATTTCCTAAACAGTTTAAGGGATAGAACTGTGACCAATAATATTCAATGCTCCAAGGATAAAGAACCCTCAAGCCTCACCTCTGAATAGTGCATCCTGGATAATGGCAGGTTTGAGTTCAATTGCGAATACTTTCACTGTAATCAAAAGGAGAATTGAGGATGTTGAACAATTTATTTTTACGTTTCAGGCAGAGAGTCAGTGAAATTATTTTGTGATATTAAAGTAAGTTAGAACCAGTTCAAACGTCTCATTTCACAAGTGCCAAATCTAATTATGCAAATGAGCAAGAACAACAGATTTTCATCATTAGCATTAGATTCAGCACATGTGAAATGGGATGTTTGAACAGGGCCTAAGATGTAATGAATTAAAGCTAGGGAAGAAACAAGCATAGCAAAATGTCTCATCAGAATAGTAAAAAAAATATTACCTGAAATTTTGAGATGTTCCCTTTCTCCTCGCTCTATTTTTTCCACAAACTTTTGGTTCACACATCTCAATGCCTTTTTCTAAAATAACATAAAATTAGAAAACTAATGATTTCTAATGTCTCGTGTTTTCATAGTAAAAAGCAAGGAGTTACTAGATTTCTCTGTAGTATTTCTGATGGGCAACCAAGGCATTTATAGTCTGGTAGACAGAAGCACTACTTAGCTCTGACACCGCTACACTAAAAACACAACTCTGTCTAGTCACATGACCTCAAACTTCCTGCACTAGGAAAGTCCCGCATGTACACTACAATCTCTTCTCGTTTCTCCCTTGTGATAACAGATAATAAATTATTATTCTTGTATTCTTGAGTAATTATTGCAACTTACTGGAATAAATTCCTCTTCATTGTTGTTCCCAGGCACTAAGCTGCTCAATGTTGTTCCAATGCTTTCAGATAGCTACAATAATATTGAGAACACCACATATTAAACTGATGTCCATCTTTAAGTTTTGTGATAATAATCCCTGTTTTTGAAAGTAATGTAAGTACTTTAGGAATGAGGAGGTGCTTTGGGTTTGGGCGAGTTAACTGAGTTTTTTAAAATTATAATATTCAATTGAGTTAATTCAATATCTTTTATTTATTGTAGGCAAAAAATAAGACATTCGAATGCTAATTAACACATGATGGTGGACTACTGCTATCGAGCAGAGAAAAATGAAAATACATGTCTATCACCCCACCCTACACTAATGGCCTGACTAATACATTTTTTTAAAATGTAATACAGTGTAAGTGTTCTTAATATATTAACTTACGTAACTGTTTAATTAACTAAACTTATTTTGAGGCAGGTACATTTTTTTAAATTGTTGACTCGCATTTTAAACAAAATCACTTCGGTAGCAAATTAATGATTTTTGTTTATTTTAGGCACAAAGGCCAAAAATAACCCATATGGACATGTTGGTTCTATGGATTGCATTTTTCTTGACAATGAAGCTTAAATTGCTGACTCACGGGACGAACGCGAATTCATCACGCATACAGTTGCCTTTCAACGATTTTCTAATCCGACTAGTTTAATGTTTATAATGCAGGAATGAGTCTATTTTGGTTTTAAAAACTGCTTTGTATCGATTTCTGATTTTCGTGACGAAAGAATCTGCGAAGCCGGCTGGGTTATTGTTTACACAGAAGGACCGTAAATAGTATGTGACAACAGAAAAATATAACCCTAAAAACTTCCTTAACAGAGGATTCAATGTAAGAGACTGTAGGAAGCATGGAAAATTTATTTTTTACCCAGTGTCGACGAAAATGAAGATCATGAAGGGCTCTAAGCTTGTACACTCTCGCGTGCTCGAATTAAAAAATCTCACCAAAGACTCATAACAAACCTCATCCGATGAACTAGGTGTAGTCTTCCGTTTGATCCTGTTCCAGTTGGAAATGTTGCCTCCGTGTATATACAACTTCTTGGCGAATTTTAGAGCTTTTTCTGTGCTACATCTTTCGTTTAAACCGTCGTTAATACTGACACCATTTTCCATGGGTTCGTTCGCCATAATCGATTGTTGTGGTTGTGTCGAGGAAACCGCTGAGTCGTCCAATACTTATACTTCTTTCCCAGTTAACTTTGCAGGCGTCGTGTCACGCTTTCTTGTTCTACGACCTCTTCAAACTTTGTCGAGAGGAAATATTTTCGGTTTTGCCTTTCCCGGAATATTCTTGCGTTTTTGTCCAGCTGTACTTTTTAGGGTTTCTTGTGTTCTATATTAACGTCTTATGCAACGATGTCAGCTGAGGTGGAGAGTATTTTGAGATCATTTTGGGAGTGGCGTTTGAGGGAGAGTCCAGAATTCGCGACGCAGATTGGCGTTCATACTTTCGACAGTTGCCTAGATGTTCATAGTTTGGATGCATATGCCAAGCGTAAGGTAAAATATTCGCTTACCGCAAAGATCACATGACTATTGTTTGTTTTGTTTTTATACGCAAACGAAATAAAGCTCCCGATATCACAAAATTCTTGGAAGTACTGTATTTTAGATCAGAACTCGGGCTTCCGCCATTAATTTTTTTCCAGACCCGGGCGTTACCAGTGTCCATAAAAATCAATAATTGACGATCAAATTCGATACTAATCAATAGAAATCGATAAAAATTGACCACAAGATTGCTCGTCATTATCGATTCGATCGATTTTGATCGACATGTATCAATATATGAAAAAGGTGAGTGGTGGAAGAAAAGACTGCATGTTAAAGTTTGTGTTGCCTGTTTTTTCTTACTAGCCTGAGTATCAGGCGTTTCTGGGGAAAAGGGGAAAGATGGAAGCGAAAAAGGGAGAGAGGTGAAGGAGAGAAACGCCTGACACAGATGCTTTTACTGGAGCCTTCCACCCCCATGCAGCATGACTCGATACCATCCAATCAAAATCACTTCCGGTCATTGGGTTGTCAGCTTCACGTGTCAAAAAGCTCGCCTAAAATAAATCTCAATTTACGGTCTGGCCGAGCTCCGTTGCTTGTGTTGCTACGATTTCGCTTTTTTTCTGAAACCTCCAATGAGGAGTTTTCGAATACTTGTACTGTAAAACCTGCCATTTATGAGGAATTATAACATGTTTTGGGAATTGTGCTAGTGTAAGATCGCCAACGCTCTGTTTGTAAATAAACGTGTGCCCGGAAAATTGTAAATTGCTTTTGTTTACAGAGTTAAAAATCAGCCGCTTGTCTGGCAGCTAAAAAGCTGATGTTATCCCTCGTATTCTCGGGTGGTTGAAAGGAGCTGCAAGAATAAATAGGAGGGTGCGATGATGAAACACCTATGCCTAGAAATTATCAAGCAGCAGCAAATTCCACCACTTCACAGAGAGCTCGTGAAAGCTGTTACAAGTTCAAAAAGAAGTGAGAGCCTATAGCAAAAGTCAATCTCGTTGGCGAAATATGATGGCGCCCGCTTGAGCTTAAGACATTTCAAAAGTGAGAAAATTTTGGAAGAGGAAGCGAACGAATTCCAATCACACGTACGCTATCATAACCGCAACAAGCGAAGTCAAGCTTTTTAAAAGCATTTGTGCTGTCGGCTATCTCAATACATGGCTACCTTGCTCTATTTTCATTTACAGTAACAATACCCTTTTAACGGCAGGATGTTGTAAATCTGAACTTAGATATCTGAAACACTGATATTGTCTTCTTTGTCCCGGTCTTGTGAAACCATATGAGGCTTTTCCACACTCCGAGTACATCTTTCCTTTAAACTACGAGGCCTTGAAAACACAATTCTTGCTCGGGTTTTATTTTTATTCCAGAAAAGAACTTGAGAGCGCCCTCTAGAGCCTTTTTGAATTCCTCTCTGCGTCTCTGTCTGTAAAAGTATCACATACCGGTAACATGAAATCAAAACGTGTATGAAAAATTTCAATGACCGCCTCCTTGCCAATCGCTCTTGCGGTCAGTGACGTCAGGGGGTATTGTGTGTTATCCAATCACTGCCACATCCAGATTTTGGATGTGTCACACGATTTGCTGAATGGTTTTGTGTCAGGCCTTCCTTTCTCTTCTCCCCCTCCCCCTCCCCCTCCCCCATCTAAAATCTCCTCTCCCCTAGCCCCTTAGGAAGGCCTGATACTCAGGTTATTTCTTACAAGCTGCACAGTGATTTTTACAGTTTGTTCCCTGTTAGCAGAGGTCTCTTTTCCTAGAAAGAAGCCTGTGCTCGCAGGGGATACACAGACTTGCCAACCCCTAAGAGGCAAAAATCCGAAAAATCTTTAGTTTCTGACTCGCGACCGACATCTCAGTCAAGAGTCAACCAAGACGTCAGTTGATACATCAGTCGACAGTCCCCCTAAAGATACATGATCCAAGCTGGAAAAGTAGTGAGAACTGGAAAAAAGAGATGTCCCAAAATTCCTAGCCTGATTCTCAGACGAGGTTGTTTGCGGTCCCTTTCGCTTCAGAGGGAGGGAAGCGAAAGGGACCGCGAACGACCTCGGACGTCTGAGAATCAGGCTACAAATTTCCTAGTGGAAAGACGTACGTCTTACATAGTTGATTTTTGGGTATTATACCATGTAAGCCTCATCTTTTAAAGTTGGAGCGGAAAAAATCACCTATTTCTTCACGTAGGAATCTTAACCAACACCCGCGCTCTTTCCGCACCATCCAGTTGAAGGGATACTGGTAAACTGGCACACGTGAATTTCTACAAATATCTGATGTTGGAAGGAACTTTTGTAAACAAAAACCTCTCAACCTCTTATACGTAAGTGGATGTGGCCAATCAGAAATCAGTTCCTGGACGTTTGAAAAGAAAAACAGGCTCACCAACCACTCATTTAGGAAGTAAACTTCAAACTATGTCAATGTAGTATAGTTGAGTACGTGCACAAGACTGGGACAAATTTGCTGTTTTTATGCTAGAGAAGTTAAAGTCGTCTGAGAGTTTAAAGTTGTCTTGAGACGATTTTATTCTCTATTAAAAAAGACGCTAATTAAGACAGACGCATTTAATGTCTGATGACAATAACGACTTTAATGTCTCCGACATTAAATGCATCCAGTATTAAAAGGGGGCGTTGTAAACTAGGATGCATTTATTCGCAGCTTATTAAGAGATGAGTTTGAAGAGTCAGTGTTGTGTATCTTTTCCACAAAACTCTATTTTCTTTTTAATGTTATCATCCACTTTTATGCATCCCCTTTTTACACCAGTGGACCTTAATTAAAGTCTCAGATGTTAAATATGTCAAGACAACTTTAACATCTCTAGCATAAAAATGGCCAATTTAAAGTCTTTATCCAGTGCAGTTTGTTAGCTTAGGCTAGGTAGTGACTCACAAAGCTTGTAATAATTAATATTAATCACTGAGTTTACTTGTATTGGTTGTTTATTTGAAACTGTTCCTTTAAACTTCAGGAAGACTGCAAAAAATTCATGAAGAGATTAAATGCAGTTAGTACAACTGATATTTCTAAGGTAAACTGACCATTTTCTTAGTATTTTAACATTTCTCTTGTAGAATTAAATTGCTTCAGGCAAAAAATGAATGTCCTCCAAGCTTCTAGAAGGGGTTTTGGTCATTATATTGGTTAGGAACAGGTGATTTCTGTTGCATGGCAAGATTCTAGCTCACTCCCTTTTCCTGATGTTGCAGAGCCTTTATGTCACTGCCCCTGACTCGTGTTCCTTCAAGAATTTGTATCTTTGCCCAAACTTTCTCCTGTCCACAAAGCTTTACTATTAAAAAGGATATTATTTTTAAGTGGCACATGCATGAAGGCCTGGGTTGTAATCTGCAATAGACCTGCAATAGACTCCAGGAAGGAGAGAAACTCCTTTTAGCATTCTACAGACACCAACCACAAGAAAATTGGGTGTCCTGTGGCACACATGTCCCTTTAACTTTGTATTATAAAGGGGCAGGGTGTGTTGGTTTAACTGGTCATTTTTTTTGCTTCATTAGGATCCCAGTAAACACCTTCTTTTTATACATGGTACATGTCGATACAGCATGGGGCAAAGGGTTTATCAAGTAACTATTTTGTTTGAAGATCAGTAGAATATTATTAATATTATAATTACAGTGGGTAAGGAATGGCCATATCGTCCCGACACTGAGGATGAGCAAAAGTCCTTACATGGTGCTTGATACAGTAATTTTATTTATTACTTTTGTCATGACCAGCAGAAACTGGCTTTTATTAAGCCAACTGCTACCAATGATATATGTAAAAATGGTCAGCTACAGGTTCAAATTGACTAAAGAGGCATGATAAGGCCATAGGGAAAATCTTTCTAATTTAACGACTGGCTAGCTTTTAGCTGCCTTTAGTTAATGACAGCTGGCCTGTGTTCGTCACTACTTTTGGGTATTAATCTTATCATTCATTTTAGACTGATGCCTTAAATGTGAAGCTGCTTCAAAGAGAAATCGAGATGTTTCTGGAAGGGTCAAATCATAAAAGGTTAGATAAATGGAATTCAGGTGTTTTATAGCTTTCTAGTTCTCTTTTACAATAAAACTCAAAAACCCATGAACATCTGAAATATTTTGGGAGTATTAATTGTGCTTATAATCAATAACTTAACACAATTGGATGGTTTCATCATCATCTCATAATAATTGCTATCTGGCTCCAAGTGTAGAATTTCATGTCATTTTTAAGTAAAATGATACACTGTATACCTTCTACTACTTATTTCTTTTGTCTTGTTATTATTATTTTTTATAGACCTGGGCATTAATACTAACTAACACTAATAAAAAGGGGACTGCTTTGCTGGTTTCATTGCAACAAGACAACAAAGGAACAATTTGGTCTTATAAGTGATTGTTAATTTTTATGCAGAGGGACTGAGATGAATTTCAAATATAACACCATTTTAACTGGAAGGAGTTATGAGTATCAATATTGCAAGGAAAATGTTTTGGACTACAAAAGGGCCTTTGTAACATATTTTCAGGTGGCCAGAGAAAATTGCTACTGCCCCTGATGTGGCAATGTTATTCAAAGTAGGTGACATGCAGTGCAAAACAAGGCAATCACCTTAATTTTAAAGATTAAAGCCATTTAATTAAAAAATGGTGTAATTTTCCTACAGTCACAATGCTTATTATTATTTTCTACTCATGATAACTGTGTGGCCTTTGTCTTGTTTTAGCTACTTGTTTCCTGTAATAAATCTAGAGGGACCTCAGCTGGAATTTTTTACACGGCTGATTTCCTGGATGAAATTTGAAACCAAGGAGGATTATGAAAAATATTTTTTAAGGCTGAATGCTTTCCCAACTCAGGTGTGTAATACCATGGTACTATAAGAGTAAGGAGCAACCATAATAATGGCAATGGTTAAAATGTCTCTCAGAAAAAGAATTGTCACTCTTTAAAAATTTATTGGGTTTATTTAGCCTCACTCAATTTGTGAAATACAATGTAGGTAAAAGTTCAAAAAGGAAAAGATAATCTCATCCTAGTTGTTCAAGTCCTCCATTAAATGTCACATCAGTAATTTTTGCTTTGTAGTTGTGCAGTTGATGTCATGATCAGTGAAAAAAAAAAAAATTATGTTTCAAACACAGCACATGCAATGTTGTTGATGTAGCATTTTTGATGATGTTGTCATTGTTGTCTTCATTGCTTAAGCTTCCTAGGTTTGAAAAAGCCACTTCGTTTACCTTTGATCAAACTGATCTTTCTCTGTGAGGTGATGTAACTTGTTTACTTTTTCTTTCTATAATGACCAGGCCTCTGAGATGATTGTATTGCTGGAAGAAGGAATCAGAACACACTATGTACCTCCTCAGCTTACTGTCGTAAGTGTTTCAATAAAAGCATAATGGGAAACAGACTGAGAGGCCATCTATCTTGAGGAGAGGGCTTTTGAGAAGATCCTGTTAATGGTTAATGCTAGTTATAATGGAAGGGCAGTCCTAATCACAACTCCATTTGTATATAGGATGGGGTGGGGAGGAGGGGGGTAGCTGTACGGATGCTTTTCTCTGTCTTCTCTCAATCCAGCATAAGGTTAATCAGTATCTTGATACCCCAGAGTGCAAGGCAGTACGTTTACTTGTGATGGACTTTAGTAAAGCATTTGACTGTTTGAAACACAACCTTTTGTGTGACAGAAACTGAAACAGCTGAGTAAGATGTCACTCACATGCATGTTGCATGTTCCATGAGATGTTACTCATCAGAGTCTTTGCTAACTGTATATCAAACAGATTGTTTTTTTTAGCATGACAAGATCATGATGTCTATACATGTATATGTGGTGTGTTTATAGCATCAGACTCTGATGAGTAGGATCTAACCCGCATGTTGCATGTTTGTTTAGATGCTACTCATCAGAGAGTCTATGCTAACTGTACAACAAACAGATTGATCTTTTTAGCATGACAAGATTAGAAGGTCCATACATGTAATAACAACAATAATAATAATAATAATAATAATAATAATAATAATAATAATAATAATACCGGTAATAATAATAATAATAATAATAATAACAATAATAATCCCAGCCAAAATTACAGTATGTAGAGATCAATCTGAAATGTACAACTACTGATGGAGTCAACTTTCGAACAATAAATTCATTAATGTATTCTTGGGAGTTATGCTTGACCTGGTTTGACTGTAAAAGGGGTTGTTCGATATAATGAACAAATTTCCCCAATCCCTTGGCAGTTCGTTAATCGAGCTTCCGCTGTATCTAAAGTATCTAGCAAAGAACAGGGGGGAAAAAAGTACAAAAATACCAGGATCAGGATCTGCTGTGCAAAAATTAATGTTGCCCACATATTTTTGCGTGGCGACATGTGTGGTGTGTGTGGCCGAGCAGTTAACACCTCGAACTCTGGATATGGAGGTCCGGGGTTCAAGCCCCACCTGTTGTGTTGTTTCCTTAGAGAAGGAACTTTACTCCACTTTGTCTCTCTTCACTCAGGGGTATAAATGGGTACCAGTGACATACTGCTAGGAGGTAACCCTTTGATGGATTAGTATCCTGTCCAGGGGGAGAGTAGCAATACTCCAAGGCTTGCTTCATGCTACAGAAACCGGTATAAGCTCTGGCCGTGTGGGTCCTGGATCATGTGCGCCTTTACCTTTTTACATATTTTTGCGTGTGAGAGAGGTTTTACGTAGTAGAGAGTCTCCGCTAACTGGACATCAAACACCTCACCATGTTTATAGTTGCACGTGGAAGGGTATTATTTTTTTATATCTCTGCGGAGGAATGATAAACAGCAGCAAATTATACAGCATTAGTATTTCTCTTAGACTGTGTAGCAAGTGTTTTTGCAGCCCAATAACTCAATAATGGAAACACTTGCTTTGCAGGCTTTATTTCTCTTTAAACCTGCCCTCTCAGAAATTTGCTATCTCTTCAGTGTGTCAATCATGTCGTCCGTCTAGGGTTCAGTCTTGGAGAGAGCATGATATTGTTGAAGAAAAGGAACTTTCTGCTGATATACCAAGCTAACAATAATAATAGTAATAATAAACATTGATAGTAGTGATAATAATAATAATACTAAGCATACTATTAAAAACCTTTTTATATTATTAATTTTGTTTTAAAAAACAGTCATTTTTATAAGCACCATTAATTTACAATATCTTTTTGATTACAAAAACACATTGAACATTTCAATTTAAAAAATTCATCTCAATTGAAAAAATCTTTTCAATTATGAACAATTCATTTCTGTTAAAAGCAATTTTTATTAATAATAATGATAATAATAATAACAATAATAGCAGTGCATCAAAAAACTAAATTTCTTTGTCAAAGTTCATCATTTAGTGGGTTGTAATACACAATTTCTAAAAACATGATAAAGTTTATTTGAGGATTCAATTAAGTTGGTAAAAGTATGATATATGGAGACCAATCAAGCATATTTTTTGTGTTCGTAATGACAACTATCTCAACTTTTGTAATAATAACCAACCCGTTATTGTTAAATAAGTGTTCACGTCATTTTGAGGCTTGCAGACATTCTATTGGCTCATCATGCAATTTCAGTAGACTTTTTTTTACAGGAATGCAAAAAATGTCCGAGGGGGAGGAATATATTATTCATCTCCCTCTCATTCTCTGAGCAGGATTTGATAAATTTGATAAATGGAGTAAATTGGGGAGAGTGCTCAATAAGAATGTGCTAAATGTACAGTTTCGGAGTCATAAAATACAGAGGATTCTGGGTACAAGATTGTACACATGCACAAAATCAGCCCAATTTATTTTGAACCCACCATTTGCATGTTTAGAGTCGAAAAAGAAATCTGTAGTCTTACAAAACTGGGTAGGGAAATGAACGGATGTTGTCTTAAACAGGGATTTGAAGAACTTTGCAGGATTCCCCTAGTTCCCCTCATCGCCTCCTTAGGTTATTAAACCTATGTATTTTCAATTTTCTACTACATGTACTGTAAAGGCCCATGTTCCTGAACAAATTATGAAAGTGATAAATGCAGTATTTACAGAAGATAACAGTGTCTTTACACCACTGAAGAAGTTTCCAGAAACCTTTTCAGAGGAGGAAAGGTGTGTTCTGCAGTTTTTGTTGTAGCCAAGGTTTTCGTGAAAATAAGGTAGTCTGCTATGCAACTGTTTCTTGGGAGGGAGTGTTGCGTGACGACACAATGAACGGCTGTGAAGCAGAAGACTTGGGACTCTGAGGGTGAAATGATATTACTTTAAGTTGCCTTTTTTTTATCTAGTTGCATTTATACCCTTGGTGCCTCTCCCTTATTGATCTAACCCGGTACATGTGGTGTGCAGTCCTAAGCAGGCTGTACAAATTCACTATTAATTAGCGTCTTGAACATGGCCGGTATGAAACGTAGGCAGTGTACACTTTGCTGGAAAGACGTCCGGCACCGTTGTTCTTAATCTGCTAGATTCCCGTCTGTTCTGAATTGCTAAATTGTGGCGGATTGCGTGCTCACTAATTGCAATCCTGAATCTCGTGTCCTTTCTTGGCTACATTTCCGAATCCCTTTGAAATGGCTTAGGGAGGTAAGGACAATTTGAAATCTGATCAGTTGTGTCACTTACTGTACTCCCTTCACAGAGCGTCATTCAAAGAACGTGGTGTTAGACTGATAGAGGAAAAAGTGAAGCCCGCTTTTAAGAAGATCCATGACTTTTATTTACATGTGAGTAGAAGTTGAACAACTGAATGTTGCTCGCTCTAGAATATGGTTATTTAATACAGTGCAGTTATTTACTACAGTGCAGAGTGGTTAATGCTGCCAAAGAATTAATATCAGTGTTCTGCTTATGGTTTGCAGAAGTACATTCCCCAGACCAGGCAGTCCATTTCATGCAGTGAATTTCCAAATGGAACTGCATTTTACAACCAGGTAAGAAGTGTAGAGATGGTATTATATTGTGTAAGAGCTGACCCGAGAAGGACTGGCTCAGTTGGTAGAGTTCTTGACTTCAGAGTGGAGGAAGTTGTGGGCTGGATACCCAAGGCTGAACCAATATATCCAGGGTCTGAAATACAATGGTACTGGGTTTGCTTTGCAAATGACAAGACGTTCGTGTTGCTCGGACGAGCACGTAAAGTGGTGTTCCCTCCCCGGTGGAAGACATGATTTAGTGTATTCAATATTATTATATGTGTAGCTGTAGTACTTTCGTGCTAAATACACCGATGTACATTGACAGTCCAATTTTTTGTAACATACAAAAATGAGTACATGTAATATTATCACGGTGTGGCTTCCTCATAAGCTGGCTGTTTTTTTTTTTTCTTTAACGTGCGATTTCCCATTAAAACTTAGTAATTAATTCATTGTAACATACACTCTATGTAGCTCTTTCATTAATTGACTCTTAAATACCACAATTATTCAATGCTGAATCAGGTGTTAAAGTTCCACATTGCCTGTGATATGACAGCACAAGAAGTTCATGAATTGGGGCAGGCTGAAGTCCTACGAATAAGGTCAAGAATGGATGAGGTAAGTACACTTTGCAGTGTTAAGATTTTGGACTTTTTAATCCTGTTAGCATCATAACTAGTTCCTAGACCAAGCGTCGAACTTTTCATGAGACGAACCAAACTCTAATTTGGGTCGACCTGAAGTAAGTTAAGATCGTCTGTTGGGTCAGACGTCGAACTCGGGACTCGTCGAACTAATCAACTGAATCAGAACAAAAAGCAATATTAATAAATTTTCTCCCAAACAAGACTACGGTAAATATACATTATCATACTAAAATTTCTAATTTATTAGTTAGTTCGTGGCATATGAAGATCAACGTTTGTCCACTTAGGAGACGAACTTCAGACGTTCTATCCGTCTGAAGCAGACGGATTAAACTAAAACGTGCCATTCACGCGCAGAATTAAGGCAACGTCCTTCAGGCCCCGGAGTCCACACAAATCCAGGTAAGTGTTCCCGTCTGAAGCAGGCGGATAGAACATGATTGACGGTCCAAACTCATTCAGACGAATTTAACTTAAAACACTAAGTTTGGTTTGTGTCATGAAAAGTTCGACGTTTGGCTCAGGCCTAGGTCTTACCACAACAAATCCCAGCTCCACTTCGAGTGTTGCTGAGGGATAATCACTGTTAGAGATCTGGGCAGGCTGAAGCTGCTACTTACGTCCCGTCCATATAAACCAGGGCGAGTTAACGGGCGAGTTGAAACCACATACTCAGGCCAGGCCCCGTTTACACGAATCTGTGCGCCGGGGCCTGAGGGACGTTGCCATCATTCTATACGTGCGTGACACGTTTTAGAACATTTTACTTTTCCTTTACTGTACAATTAGGACATGTAATTTCCTTACACGACTTTTTAGGGAGGTCGTAAGCGCATGACAACAGTTTTTTTTTCTTTCTAAACTTGAGTGCGGTCCCAAGAATTGTACTTGGGAAAATTCACCCGTCTTTGACATTTTAAACGAGTTGGAATAATCACGATAAAGTTGAACAAAAAGTTGGATCATAACGTTTTTCTTGCCTTCGCCGTAGTGAAAAAAAAATCAACTCGGCTCCCTGTTGAGATCGTCGAGTGCCCAGGCTTCCCCTTCCCCAGTATTTACCTCAGGGTTTGTATGCGCCTCTGTGCACGCAGCATTACAGTACAGTTTATTTGCTTTCTTGTAGATAATCAAGCAGGTTGGGTTTGCAGGAAACTTCAAAGAGTTTCTAGATATGCTGAGAACTAACAAGCGGTTTTATTACGACACAAAGGTAAATATTAATTTTATTATTATTATTATTATAAATATTATTTTATTTTAATGTTATTACATTTGATTTACGTAACAATATCAATATAATAACAACCAACTAAGAGTTGCAATGATGATGTTACCACTTAATTATACAATACAGTAGTAAAATGAAATCTCTTGATATGTTTCGATCGATGAGACAGAACATTTGACCATGGCGTTACTCACCCGTCATATTGTCCCGAGAGACTGAAAAAAGCTTTGTTTTACTACCTCCGACCTCGCAGTAAAAAACTTGGGAGCGAGGATAGGCAGGTAAAACACAATTACTTTAGTCTCTCGGGACAAAATGGCCGCCGTGTGACAAAGGCCCATTGAAGCATTACTTGCACTTGTACGCTATGGTAAAATAGTGGACCTTAGAACCCAGTCTTTTCTTACCTGGAAAATACATAAATGGTAAATAAGCACGATTTTGCCCGATTTGGTTATCGCGCAAGTCAGGACCTACCCATCCAGAATTGTTTTACGTTCCTTTTCTACTGCTCAATTTGAAATTAGAACTGCGAGGGATCCCATTTACATTCATTTTGAATAGCATTGCCAGAGGCTTAGCCAGCCCATAAACCTAAAGCCCGGGGCCTACAAATTTTTGGTTTGATCACTCTACCTCTTGTTATAAATTATGCTTTTTGTGGGTGAGCTAAAAAGCATAAGAGGTCAAAGTGTTGGTGAGGAGCGTGCAGGCCTACAACTAGTCGAAAAGCTGGCTACGCCCCTGATTGCTGTATTTTTTTTTATATACTTGATGTCTTTTAAGTGTTGTTCTGATTAAGGTGCTGTGGGTAAGCCGCGTGAGGCAAAAAACTTTTCTGAAAAGATTGACTTTGTAGACCTTTTAGAGAGGAGTTTTAAATTACCTTTTCTTTCAGGAAGAACTTATAAATGGCTATAAAGATCTATGTGAGAACACTGTTACGCCAAAGCTAAAGGATTACTTCAAGGAAATGCCCAAGACACCATTTGAGTAAGCCCCCTGACCGAGCAGAATTGTCAAGAGTGCGCTTGTCGGGTAGCCTCACACGCAGCCGTTCTTTTGGATCGTCACGGAGGAACGCGTGACGGATCCCTAAGAACAGCTGCGTCGAGGCTACTTGTTGGGATTTTCCGTTGCAGTCGCGATGCAAGAGGTCATAAGAAGGGTAAAAACGACGAACGCGCTTCCTTTCTCATTCAGCCTTGCCGTCCCATGTGCCTGTGTGTTCTTGAAGCTTTCCCATGATCCTTTTTGCTGCACGCCAAAAATTTCCGCGACCCCTTGGGCTGCGACTACCGCCGAAAATCTCAAGAAGCTTATTGGTTTGAGGCAAGTTGGTGTGTTTGTCGTCAATTTGTGGAATTTTTCTGTTTACCAAAGTTTTTTCGTTCAAATCACTTACCTTTGGCTGCATCTAAGCGTGGACACGAGACAAAAGAAACATGTTTTTATAGGGTGCCAGACATGACGTGTTTTGCCCCCAAACATTTGTAGTTTGCCAGCCGTTAAAGCAAAAAGGTAAGTTGTTTACTTGTGTTTGATCAGCGCGTTCCGCTCATATTTTATTTTTCTTAACTTTCAGACATATTTCTGGCTCAGAAACAGCACACTTGCCACCAGAAATTATTCTTAAAGTCTAAAAATCTTGCAAAGAAAATTTTGTTGAGCGAAAACAACGTAAGTCGACAACAGCCCGCGTACTCCAAACTTTGATTGTTTGGCGGACCAAAACACGTCAGGTTTGCATGCAATTAGAACATGTTTTTTCATCAGATGTAACCGACGGTAGATTTGTTTATAATACTCAGGATTGCCGAGACACCTGCAGATGCTGCCCCCGTGGCTCCAGCGGCTTTCTATATGGGTCCCTCTGAGGATGGCACAAGACCTGGACAATTCTGGGTCAACACCTACAAACCTGATACGAGGTAAGCAGTGGAAGTCCTCTTTTCACTAATGTGCGCTAGTGATAACCGAAGGTTACAGAGTGCGTGCGAGAACGATGGAAGGTCAAAACGCTTTTGCTTCAAATGCTTAAGTGTGCTTTGCATTAGTCAAAACACGCGTGATCATATTAAGAGTGATACAAGGTCCAAACGCGCGTCAGATCAGATTACGTTCTGTGCATTCCATTTATTGTTAGTGGAAGTCCAAACGAAGCTGGCTATGTACGTGCCGTGCTCGCGTAAAGGAGATTAGGTTTGCGGGCTTCTCTTGTCGCCTGCAGTTAGATTTGTTTGTAATACGCGATGAGATTACAACCGATTTGGCTGGCCAGCTGAGACTAACATTATTCTTGCAATAGGCTAGCAAATAATAGTTCGTTTTACCTGACTGACCTCATTTTAGTAGGACATTGTCCTTTCACCGACTGTTATTTACAGCTCTGTTGCTAAAAGTATTTCCTTATATTTTTTTCTTCAGACCCAAGTTTGAAATGGTTTCCCTTGCGCTTCACGAAGCTGTTCCAGGTCACCATTTACAGGTATTGTGTTCACGTAATGGCTCTTCTGCCTGATTACGTTAGACGGGCAAATTTTACCTCCAAGCCTCTAAGGTCATAGGATCGACTCCTGGTAAGATTACTCTCGATTTTTTCTTGCGAACCGCCTGTGTCACTGACTGAAAAAACATCCTCCTCGTGTATTCACCAGGCACAAAATTCACCATCACATCTCTATCATTGCGCATGATATACACATACATGTACCCTAAATCTTCTATTACGTCCCCCTCTCAAATAAGCCCCCTGCCTCTAATAAGATCCCCCTTTTTCAGGGGAAGAAAGTTAATAAGCCCCCTCCCCTTCCCCTTATTATTCTTCACTAATAAATGATTGACTTAATGAATCAATAACGACTGAAGAACTTCGTTTGGACTGATCCAGGATGGTTTATTTACCGACTAGAAGTTCGGATTTCATTCTGATCCTTAGTTGCATGACCTCCAACCTTCTTGTACTTGAACTTTTCCGCTTTGTATAATTGTAGTTCTTTATGGAGAACTGATACCATCGTCTTTTCTAGATTAAATAAGCCCCCACCTCAAATGAGCTTGAAATAAATAAGCCTCCTGGGGGGCTTTATAGAGGATTTACTATCGACGTTTCCAGTGCTAGCAGTATGCAGGATGTTTGGCACACCGAGTTTAGTGGCCTTAGCTCCCACGAGTCTCCTGTAGCTCAGTGGTGGAGCATCTGGACCAGAAGGCCATATTTGACCCTTTTTGTCATTGTTTTTTAATAAACTTTTTAAAACGGTATCTCTCTTGTGGTTTTATTGCTGCAATTATTAGTCGCGTGTTTTAATTGATCCTCGTAAAGTTATTTCAAATTGTTTATACAATAATACGTCAAGGTGCTCCCTTGGGTCTAGCTGTAGAGATGAACTAATTTGTATTCAACTTTGGGCTTATGAACTCGCGTAATCAACTGATAGACCAGAAGGCCATAGGTTCGACTCCTGTTAGGAGTACTCGGATTTTTTCTTCCGATTCGCCTGCGTCACTGACTGACTTTCTCAAGGCTCGTTTGTAAGCAAACTTCTTCGGATTTGCACTCTTTGTGGGTGGTTATTCTTTTCAACTTTACTGCCTTCTCTTGGAAATTCATTTATGCAAAATTATGCAACTTCACATTTTCGAAACGAGGCTTGGAGAGATTTGCTCGTCTGGCGTAGCAATGCATAAGGGCTATTGTTCACGCTGCGCGAGAGTTGTAGCTTTTCATTACTGATAATTAACGATTTGGTTTCAGACTGCATTTGCTATGGAACAAACGGAGCAGCCTTCGTTCAGGCGTTATGTTGAAGACAGACGCTACTATGAAGCCCCAGCTCGCTTTGCTCTCCATACCGCGTATATGGAGGTATGTTCAACCTCGTTTACATGGTCCTCTCCTACAGTAAGAGAGGACCCTGAGAACGAGGTTGACGTTTATTTTGTTTGTTTGTCTGTTCGTTCTCTTGGTCTTTAACTAAGACCCATTCATGAGCAAAAAAAAAGGCTTGGTATTACAGTCGACTCCCGATAACTCGAAACCTCGCTAACTCGAACCTCGCGCTAACTCGAACCAAAATCGATTTCCCCAGGATTTCCGTCATACATTTACTGTAATTTTACCCTCGGCAACTCGAACCCCCGCTAACTCGAACCAATTTTCGTTTCCCCTCAGGTCATTTTCTATATAATTTTACCCTCGATAACTCGAACCATGTTTTGAGCCCTTAAAAAGTAGGGAAAAAAGCCGTCTACTGGCGTCCGAAACATTGAATTTTGGATTTCGTGTTGTAGGAGTATAGTTTACTAATGGAGGCTGATGATTTTCATAGGCTAACGTGAAGCAGCTTTACTTCTCAAAACAGTAAAACGCATGATCTATTTAGGCTATGTTTTGTTTCGTTACGTTCTGATTTATAATCTAGAAGTATCTTTTAATTTTCACTTGACATTTGAGGACATTTCTACCATTAAATGTGATTAAAATGTTCACTGTGAAGTAAAAACTGTTTTTTACCTTACTCTCGGCTATTTTCTTCGAGCTCCCGATAACTCTAACTTTTTTCGATTTCCCTTGAAGGTTCGAGTTATCGAGAGTCGACTGTATTTGCTAGATTGAATATCCTGATAGTTATTTTTCAGATTAATTCTTAATCCTTAATGTCTCCAAAATCAGTGGTCAAAATGTACAACCATAACACTCAGAGTTGCCGCCGAGTTCATGCGCACCCCACAATAAACGGGCCAAGGTTTTGTTGTCTTTGAACGTCCCCACGTTATGGAATTTTTTTTCACTTTCTGCCGATTAGTCGAACAGGCTCTCATTGTTCAGGAAGAAAATTATTGTATTTTTACAAACAAATTAGTCTAGTGATAAGTTTTTCTAAGTTTTTTACTTAATTGAGAACGAAGAACTACTTTCTTTAGATTCTTAACCTGTTTTGTTTTCTCTTAGGGTTGGGGCCTGTACTGTGAATATCTTGGAGAGGAAATGGGTCTGTATAAAGATCCGTACGACTTGTAAGTGTATTGTTGTACTGTTCTATTTTGTCCTCTTCCTCATGTCTCGTTTAGGTCCTATCAACCGTGGGCATTATTTTCGTAGCGTTTACAAATATAATACGTCTAGTTAATGCGTCATTAGAGACCTTACCATTCGACACCGGCGACGCCAATGAAAACGTTGTTGAAATCGCCATTATTCTAAGTCGTTCTCAGAATAGCCGATATCAGTCTAGTAACTATGCCCGCGTTCATCCGAGCGCCGATTCTTCAGACGAAATATTTCTGCTGTATATTTTAAATCGCCCTGAGCTAGAAAATGTCCTGTTTCTACATGCTTTCAGGTTTGGTCGGTTATCTACGGAAATTCTTCGAGCCTGCAGACTAGTTGTGGACACCGGAATGCATGCTCTATGGTGAGAGATCATGATAATAAGATTAGCTGACTTGGCGGCCTTCTTGTCATAATGGTACTCAAATGAGCCTTACAACTTAAGTTTTGGCCAGCTTGTCAATACCATCAAGTCTGACGTGGATACAACCTCGTTCCCAGGGTTCTCTCCGCAGGGACTAGAAGGAGAGAACCCTGGGAATGAAATTGGTAATGATACACAATTCATTTGACTGTCACTCTGATAAATAACTAAATAACTTCTACACAGGTTGTTGAAACGTCGGTCATGGACTGTCAACAGTCCTTTTCATATCTAAATGAAGATATGACCGTCGCAGTTGTAATCCCAATTTGAGGAATCGCTAATTAAGCCCGAAAAGATCTTCGTGCTTTAATGGGACTTGAACCCATGGTCATATCGTCATTTAGATTTGTTTTTCCGCGGTTCGCATCTTCATTTTAAGTCTTATTCATATCCTGCGTAGCGGCGGTTTTGATGGGAAGGGCGAGCGAGCGTTCAAGTCGAAAGGAGAATGTGGCTTGTTCCAGGCTCCAAGATAATGCAGAAAGCAACTCGACAAAATTTGCGCGAAAACCGCGTGGGGGCTGAGGAGAGACGGATCGTTCCGGTTCACCAGCGCCTGATATACCCTATGATTGGTCTTTTTCAAGACTTTACTTGATTTCCTGCGCTCCGCTGCCTGTAACTTTTTGCCGTCAGTTGATTTTTTGCATTTTACATACGAACTGAAGTTGAGTCTTGTCAATGGTGTCAAACCAGTGCCATTACAAAAAGTTCAAAATGGTGGCACCCGGGAATTTAAAAGCGTTTGATGTAGTCAATTTTGTTTTACCCGAATTAAGTCAATTTTTTATTATTTCAATTTTAGCTGGAGTCGACAGCAAGCCGTAGAGTTCATGGTAGAGAATACTGCTATGTCTCTTCATAACATAAACACTGAGATAGATCGTTATATCATCTGGCCAGGACAGGTAGGTTGTTGTACATCTGCGGTAGCACTTTGTCGGTGCTTCGTTTAGACGTAAATACAGTGATTCAGTATGTACCTTCTTAACTGTGTTAAGTGCTCATGTAAAAGCTTATGTGTTCTGCCGCGCTCCTTAATTGCCTCTCCGCCCTGCACCCCGCTAAACGCATGCTAATCGCTTGTGGGTCGAGGAGGGGGGGTTTAAGAGATTGGTGGGAATTTTCGTGAAGTCTTTAAGTACGGATGATCTCGCTTGGTTTAGAGTTGCGAGTGAGCTGTGACATTAGGTGCAGTAGACTAAGAGAAGTCAGGAAAGAAATTTCAAAGGCGGGCAGACTCAAGAACTTAAGATCTAACAAAAGAAAGAGCAATACATTTGAGATGGGATGATTCTGGAGTTGGGCAATACGCGAAGACTATGCAGTCTCTCGGCTGTTGTCTCATATGGTGGTTCCAGTCAAAAACTTAAAACTGTAACGTGGCATTTCGCGCATGTAATTTCGTTTTGTCATCTTTTGAGATACACTGGTATTACCGTATTTGTTTGTTTGTTTTTTCGTTAAGGCCGGGGGAGAATCGCATTTTTTTATATATATTCTTTTTCTTCTCTCTTTGCTTGCCACAGGCCTGTGCGTACAAAGTGGGTGAAATAAAAATCAAAGAACTTAGAAAGAAAGCAGAGCAGAAACTTGGTAAGTCGGGTTTCACTAGTAAGAACTTGTTTTTTATTTTACAGGATGTGATATCAAAGAAGACTTGATTCTTATTATGTCGGTACGATTTTTTTTCAGGGGAGAAGTTTGATATCAAAGACTATCACCATGTTTTTCTTTCGGCTGGTCCTATGGGTATCGACACCTTAGAAGAGGCTGTGGACGAGTATATAGCAAACAGTTTGACACCGTAAATATCTAACTGGCGACAAACAATTAGTGATTATCCAACATTCAATAAATTTATTAGTACAGTAAATTATTGTCAAAGAACAGAAAAGAGAAAAGATGAGCTTTTTAAATTAATTTTTACTCCTCATTAAATTAACGTATTAATTTATTAGCTTTTGTTTAATCTAGTACGTTCTTTTTTGAGGCACTTTTCGTTAGCATAGTCCTACAATCGGGCGAAGTTCAAAACAGAGCAAACTTTTTGCGTTGCGACCGAACCGGCACCTCTAGACCGGACCACCCTTTTGTATCTTAATCTCTCCATTGCCCCTACACTACCACACCCACGCGGCAAAGTTCCGAAAAATTACCAAACACTTTCTCTCTTAACTGATATATCAATAACAGGTGACCCTAGCACTTTCCATAAACTTTGACGTAAATTCAACTTTGGCTTACCATTAGGTAAGGACCATTTACGAAAGGGAAATATACGACGGCGGAGCCGGGGGAGGTGTTTTGGCGTTAGTCGTTCTTCCCTACCCCTCCTTTTTTGAGAGAAGGTAACGTTGTTTAGAGAAAAAAAAAACGTCTAAAATTGCTATTGGGGAGATCAGCATATAATTTTGAATTTGTCCATTGATGTACGTCTTGCTGTGTTATTCTCCCAAATCCAATGTGGAATCCATAATTGCGAAGGGAAGCAAAAACAGCAAGTCAGTAATGTTAATTATCATAAACACATTCATCGTTTTTTGCTTAAGCTGCGATCACCGATAGCATTTTGCGGTTATAATTAGCGGTTAAATCAAAGCCTTGAAGCATAAACCGCGACCTCACCATAAGTCTCTTATCCCGAAGCCTGAATTCAATAGGAAAAGAAATCGTAATCAGCTTTCTCCAATGGTCCCTGTCTCTCTCTCCCCAGGAACTAGTGAGCGCCTTTCCCTTAAACAACAACAAAAAAAATAGAAGGAAAGAAAGAAGGGGAGAAAGAAGGTGGCAAGAAAACAAGTAAAAACAATTTCAAAAAGAGAGGACACGAGATGTTTTATTAAGAACACAGTAATAAGTTAAGATGTAACTGAGATTTCTGTACTTCTCTGTTATTTTATCATTATTTTTTAATTTTGTGTAATTCACGCCGAGTCAGCAGATCAGAATGCTTGAATCTATACTCTAGGGACTGCTTTTACAGTTTTTATCCGTTTGAGCTCAAAGTTTGCAGGATGGTAGAACTTTTGTATTCCAAACAATCGTATGCGTTTTTGTTCTCTTCTATTTGAACGGGGTTTTTGCGTGAAAAAATGACCCGATTTCCCTCGATTTAAACGGTTTTTTTGTAAAAAAAAATGACTTGTGACAGCACCAAACCAAGTAAAAATGGGTAAATGATGAAGAATAACCATCCCCCTTCTCCACTCGGATAATGACGAAGAAAGTGTGAGGGTTTGTCTCTGCTGTCACAAATTATTAACATGACAAATGACATGCTTTGTTTGTTTGTAAATCCTATCACAACGAGACAATTTATTTTTTCCTTTCGTTGGCATGACAGCGTAATGTGAATATTTTACATAATTTACTGTATGCCAATTTTGGCGGGAAGTTAGGGGACAGGTATAAATGGCTCTCATTGTACAAACAATTATTCCAAGAAAGCGCTTAATTTGTGGACTATGGACTAATGTGGACTATTACCAATGCTGCGTTCTGATTGGCTGAGCTACTACTAGGCTATATGTTCTTGCCCACTTGTAGCGGAAAGCGCCGGCTTAAAAAACCAAAACAATGGCGGCTGAATGGCGTTTTGCTAGCTAAAGTTGGTTTGTTTCAATATTTATGACCAACTAGTTGGATTTTACTAAAACAATTATTCCTCTCGCCGTCATGGCCTCTGAGTCAATAGCCCATTCGGCCTTCGGCCTCATGGGCTATTCGGGCTCGAGGAATAATTGTTAATTAGATTCATGCCCAGCATATTTACTGAAAGCGAGTGAGATATTTAGACGAGAAAGAATTTTTCTCATCCAGTGTCATAAATAAATGCTCTATTTTTAGTCATTAACCCTTGTTTGGCCTAAATAAACCAAATTGTTTTCGTAAAAGCAGATACGATAAAATATGATATTGATATTAGGGAAATGTTGAATGATTAAAAAACATTGTTCTCAATTCCCCTGTGATAAAGGCACAAGTTGGCTAAAAATGTTAGAGCAATTGGAACGATAAAAATATTTATATCCAAAGAATCTGATTAACCACTTCCTACGATGATCAACAAAGAAATGAAATATTTTTAGTTCCACAGGTGTATTTCGTCATTCCTTAGCAATTTTTAAAATCAGATTACTTATTCCCTACTATCGAAGAGCGTCAACGCATTTTAATTCATCTTTATTTGGTAGCTTTATTTAATTAGTCCGTCAAAGAATTCGACCGGCCATTAATTTGTTCCAACCGCGTAAAACTATATCGGGAAAATTCATAGCGGAGCTCTCGCGCACGCAGCGGATCACCATGGGTAAGAAAATGAGGTAAACCACCCATCCGAGAAAATTTGGTAATCACGTGACCGTACACCGAATGACCGACCGCTCGAGATTCCCTCGGCACCACAGGCATACCAATGTCAAATATTTCAGTCAACAGAGGTCAACAGGTATGGCAACCGAAATGCAACTCAAGGTTTTATTTGGAAAGAAATCGCGTGGCCGCCCGGACTGTAAGAAAGAAAAAGCAACAACAAAGTCGTGTCTTTTTTCGACGTTATTTTTGATGTTTACACTCACGTGGACAACAGAGAAAGAGCTAGAGCGAGTGATTGAAAACAAAGGAGACGAATTTTGTAGGAAGAAAAACATGACAATTCAAAGCGGCGGTGAGACAATGGGAAATGCCAGCGCCCAGCAAGGAGCAGCCAGCAAGGTGAAAATGAGGACATGAACACAGTAGACAAAATATTGGGTAAGCACATACGACAATTCCTCTATAAAAATAATGTGTACCTAGGAAGTTTGACGATTTAGTCCTGCAAAACAGCGTTGTAGTTTTGCAAAACAACGGAAAAGAAAGACAAAAAGCGTGCTGCACGTGGAAATTTGTTTTGTTGCTAATTAGGAAAAAAAGTGTGCTGCACGTGCAATTTGTTTTTTCGCTAATTAGATCTATTGATCTTGATGCCATTTTCATTACCGTCTCCGTTTAACATTACACGATTTAATTTTTTTGTTTTTACGTGTTATTAACCAGAGCTTCGCTTTTAGCCCTGGCTAAATCTATATATATTATTGCTGACGTAAACGTCCCCATACGACACACCCAGAGCCGATCGGTTGGTTATTCTTTCATGTTACGTTTACGCCAATACACTGTCCATACTCAAGTATACCCTGTATACCCATGTACTCCCTTGCGTAACATGAAAGAATAACCGATGACCCAATTGTCGTGATGCCCCGGTCGATCTGCTTGTCACTCTAGACCAGATAGTCTCTTCCTCTTGCCTTAATACACCCAATTGTTATTTTTACGTTCTGGCAATAACTTTTATTTCTTCAGCTGTTGTTTCTTACGTATACAGTCAAAATTATAATTGCTGCAGTCTTTGAACCATTAGTTCAAAAAGTCTTAGCAAAACTGGAATGCTACCACCTTACTTTTTTTCTAAGCAAAAAATCAACATGCAACGCAGTATGCTTCGGTCTTGAACTTATGATAAAAATGATTTGCTTTTTAAATTGCAGTACAATTATTGTTGTTTTTGTTGTTAATGTTTTGTTGTACTTAGTCAATTATAGTTGTTAAAAACCTAGATACTTGAGTTCCACAATGCATTGATCTAAATACAACCAGCCATATTAGAACAGCTACCCGCTCCTTGAGATCGTGTATATGTCCAGATTAGATTTACGTCTTGAAGACTACTTTACTAACAGCTGATGGCTTTATATCGTCAACACCTGCTGGAAAATAGAAATGAAAAAATATCAAATTATTATTATTATGTATTATCTTGTGTTCATAAGTCCTCTAGATCAGTCATTTGAAACTATTTCAGTGATCCAGAAAACTGTGGTTCTTAACTAAAGAGTGCATGTGTTCGTACGTATAAAAAACGGCCACTTCAAGTTTTCCCATTGAAAACTGGTGTTTATCTCTTGCGTCTTTCCTCTCAAAGTTCAAGAACCTCGCCCGTTCTCCAAAACAGTGGGAATTAACTGGAATGTACAACTCGTAAGGCTAACCAAACGAGGTTTAACGTTTTCGAATAATACTTATGGCTCTTATCAGCCAACAGAGGCAGCTCTCGGTTGCACAAATTCTGTCCAAACTTGTGTTTGAGAATGAAAGTGTATGGTAATGACTTTAAACAAGAGAGGATAAAGGGGACAGAGAAGGCATCCCCCATACACACCCTATTCCATAGGTAATTCGTCTCGAGTTCTTTTTAGAATGGGGATAAAGTTACCTCGCGCGCTGCGTGGATGTTTCGTGGAGGTTTCGCATGACTAAACACCGTGCAAAACATGTCGGGCGAAAGGCAATGAAAGCGTAAAGAGATCGAGAGCATTTCTGAATATTGAAGTGAAATGAGTCGGCGCTCACCTGGGAAAAGGGAATCGCTGGACTCTTTGACAACCCGTGAAATCAGTTTAACCCGAAGTTGTCGTAACCTCAGTGCTTTAATAAAATGAGAAATTTCGCCGGTCTATTGAAACCGGTGGTTTGTACAATAAAGCAAGTAGGACGCCAAGTGTTATTTTTGTTGAATAATAAAAGACTAAAAAAAGAATAAATATCAAACCAGAAATTACTCTCTTCAAACCGCAAATTATAAATGATCCTGAGAGAATATTCAGTGTGTTAATGATTTCCCTGCTGTACTGTCAGCTTTAAACAAGAGAGGAAGGGTGATTCTTTTTTAATTTCCGTTTCGCTGACACAGTTTTAGCAGAAATCTCTCTGTAGTCGTTTTCGTCGACAAGACGAATAGCAATATCGCTCTCCGTATCATCCGCCACTTTGTTCTGCGTCAATTCGTGAAGGGCGTGTGGCTCTGAGCGTGGGTCATCCACGTGCAACACATTCGCGCTATGTGATTGGCTGTTGTCTAATCCCCCTTGAGATTTGTGGTGTTAAAAATAACTCGAGACGAATTACTCATGGAATAGGGTGTGTATGGGGGATGCCTTCTCTGTCCCCTTTATCCTCTCTTGCTTTAAAGTAAAGGAAAACACAATTTATGCCCCGACACATCCCATCAATAGTCTCTAACTTTGATAAGCTGTTCTGGCAAATTGTCAGTTTTTCAAAAACAAAACGCACATATTATCCAGTAGTCTGTGGGAAACGATTTAAGAGACAGGGATCGAGGCTGTGTTTACCTCTGGAAAGATCCCAGCTAGGCCCCTGTGATAAAGAAACAAATCAGACAATTCGAAAATGTTAGTTTAGATACTTCACTAAGATTATGCCATGTTAATAGTATATATATCATATTTCTTACACCTGTGCGTTATTCTCTATTCATGAGTACTGTCTTGTGCGACCAAATAAAATGCTTCCTTTACCTATAAACTATAAACAATTTTTTACTTTATACACGCGTAGGCCCGAGGAGCCTTTGCAGATATACAAAAAGTAATGCAAAAAGTGCAATTGAAAAATTGAGTGCTATTCTTCGCATGAATTACCTAATATTTATAGAGCTAAATAATATAACTCGCTTTGTATTAAAAGTACTGGACGTGTAAAACAGAAAGGTCATTTATTTGAGGTGAAGAATTCAATACGAGTCCGTTGAATAACATCCTTGGCCCGTTTCAGCTTTCTCGTTTTCTTTAATTATGACGTCATCACGCGGACATCAAACTTGAGGACTTTTAGTGGTCGTCAAGACTAAAACACTTCTCCGCGATTTCTGAGGTATGGCCAGGACCTTACGCAAGCTCACACCAAGATCACCTTGGAATTGGCAGCCGTGGACAACTGTTTCGCCCTTTTGAGTGAGGGGGGCTCATCAGAGTGAACATTAATTGCATCCAGATCTGGTTTAGCACAATTACATTATTCACTGTTTACATGTACTAAGCGTCTATACTCAAGGGATAAAGGCCTGGCTTTTGGGCTCAAAAGCGTGTTGTAAAATATGATTGATTGGCAATCTCTCTTGCTAGGATACCCCGAACGAACAGGATGATTTTTTTGCCGAATGGAAATCTTGGGGTTTTCAGCAGCCTTGACGTATGTTTATGGTCACGTGAAATGCCACTTGATCAAAAGTTTGAAACAAACCATATGAAAATGTAGAAAAGGGATGGCGAGGAGGCCTAAAGGAAACCATATGAAGCTAATGGATATTATTATTCGTTCAAAATATTTCCCCGATTCTGATTGTCTAAAATCACACGCATAATTCACCATAATCAGCTACTGATGACCACATTTGGAAGAATTTTTGGATTAATCAACCGATGACGTCAAAAGTGCAGCTTCCTTGCAGGTTAATGCACCGTTAACCGAGAAGACCTGGGGAAGAGGTTGAGTTGTCTTGGTTGTGAAAACAAAAAACTTGTTTCAAGAGTAAGAACTACTGTAGGCGAAATAATAGCTAAAAAAATGGCAAGAACAACAAGAAGACAACTCGAAGGGCGACATCTGCTATTTAGAGAATATTTGCGGAGCTAAACAACCCTAAACGTGCACTATCGAGGATGAACTTAACATCGATGGAGTATTCTTAAACTGGGAATTCTTTTGAATGAATAATAAAACAATTATTGAATTCGGCTTTCGTATCATATGAAGAATTATGGAGATCTCGGAGGGTGTTATCCGTCCAGGCCGTATAACACCCTCCTCGATCTCCGTAATTCTTCATAAGATACTCAGCCTCATTCATTAATAGTTAATTAATTAGGGCTTCTCTTAATTAGCTCGTGCCGCGAACTTTAAAATATATTAAAGAATCACTAGAGTTTATTAACACAATCTGCCACGCGTATACGCTTGATCAGTACAATGAATAGAACGAGTAAAAGTGGATGTGATGGCCAGCATGTACTTTCCAGTGCAGGTATGCTTATATTAAGAAAATTATTATTATTGTAAAATGGTCCAGAGAAGCCGCGAACTTTTTAACTGATCGCGTTGCGTCAGCTGGTTCATTGCACCTGCTCACCAAATCTTGCAATGAACATGGAAAAAAAAATTGTCACAGATCAGGAGCTCTTTTCAGAGCTCGTCGAAAACCCGATCCACCCGTTACAAATTCATAAGGGTCCTTCATTTGTTGACGAAAACAGCCCGACGTTCCACCTGCAAATTCATGGTGAAGAGACTGGATTATCTAGAACAATGAACCACATAAATATATGTTGCATTTTCTTATGCCCGCTGTTTTCATGGAGCGAGCTTAAGTATTTAAGATCTATTGCAAAAACTGAACTTACTTACCCGCCATTTTGGTTAAATTGCTTTTGGGGGTCAATATAAGAGCTAACATCTTTCGAATGGAGAAGCCAAACATTACATTCAGCGACGAGTGTTCTGGCTTCCGCGCTCAATTTTACTCACCCCGCAGCGAGTTTATTTACGACATAATGGAGATCTCGCACGCGCTAAAATAAATGGAAAATTTCACCTTTCTTTCTGTGGTTTAACTTTTGAACAAAATTCCCGCAAAATAAAGCAAAGTGTATGTATTCTCATGATTTGAGCGTTCACTGTGAAATATGCGCATATTAGCGGTTTTGCGAAACAAACTGAGCTAAAAGGAGAAACAATAGCGTGCTGCATTCATTGTTTAGTTTGCCACCCACAACATATTGATGAGCTTCGTCGTGCATTCTTAGCAACCAATGGCTGAAGCGCTTTCATAGAGTCTCTGCATGATTGCGCGTAATATGACAGATCTACGAACTTTGTTGAACTAGAAGTAAATGTCCCGAGAACAATAGGCATTCTGCGCGATGGATGACATAAAAATTACGGTGACGGATACAATAATTACCAAAAATTATTGTGACAATTATTATCATAGATGTATTAGAAGTTTACAATTAATGTTTTGAGTAATTCAAGTCTGAATTTGGCCTTTGAAATGGTGTTTGTCCTCAGTTTTTTTTTTATCAAAGTGCAAAGGACAGTTTCTGTAAACGTAAATTGTTAGAAATATTTAATACAGAGACTGTGAAGAAAAATGTTTAATATTAGACGATTTCTTTTGTCATTAAAATGTCATGCCTGTCTGTCTTTTGTCATTAAAATGAGAAAAATGACAAAACTCAGACAAACATTGCAAATTGGTCACTTTGACGTCATTCGCGTGCTACGCTATTTGTTCCTTATTTGAGACTTTCAGTAAGGGTGGTCACGTGACAGTTTTAGCGAGGTACTATTAAAACGGATACTAGTTGTTTAAAATGTTCCTGGACCTTAATGTCTCTCTATATATACCATTTCGACTCAGTTCCATCCTCTGCCAAAGTTATAGCCAATAAACCTTTTTTTTCCTATACGTAAACTCGCTAACCCAGGCTTTAAACTACTTGAGATATAACTTCTACGTTAACCCTAAGACTAACCCCACTTATTTTCCTTCCTACACTCGAAATTCCTGTGAAAAAAGGGACATGGTGAAGGAAGGCCGTAAACAACTGCAAAAGGAATGCATTACAGAATTCTCGATTGTTTAGCTTGCTAAGAATAGACTAAAGGAATGTTGGGCAGATAGGACGTTCTGCAAACGAGGCGAGTTATTGATATTTTTCCATCTTTAATTTGTTAGTGGCTAAGATGCATTATTCAGAAAATTTAAGTATAGCTAGTGCGTAGCTGGTTATGAATTAATGATCATCATTCAAATAACATTTAAATTTACTGCCTTAGAGATCTCTAGTTTTTTAATCGCCTGAGAGCTTTAGAATTGAAAGAACGTTTTTAACTTTATTAAACTTAATATTTAAATTACTTATTACGTAACCTTAGTATTTAAGGAATTTTAAGGGATAATAAGTGCAACTGATATTATGCACCCTATTGAAATAAAGTGTCACTCACATTTACTCAAAATGGAAAATTTGGTTTCGACTTTAGTCGAGACTTAAGACATCAACAAAGTAATTTAAATAATCTGCAAAATGTACAACTGCGAGTGAGCTCTTGCTATGAGCAGTTTTGACATGAAAGTGAGGCAAAAGAATCATATTAAGCGCGGGCCTTTTTCTAAAGAGAAAGAATTGATTGAATGCTCAATTCTAATAATAGCTATTATAAAATAAAATCTATTTGTTTTTGCCTTTTATCACCAAAAAAGTTAGTACGATTATTTATACTGAGGGAGGTTAAGCCCTCTCCCGATAGCATAAGGATAAAACGTCTTACAGTTGATAACTTGTTCCCGCCACTGCGACAAAATGACGCTAGTTCACGCGTGAGCAATACTCATTATTACCGAGGAAATCACTCGTACTCGTATTCCTCCTCGTCTCGGAATCTAAAGGTCTCTATTATCGCCCTTACCTGAACAGATCACTGACGCATCCTCATGGTGACCACAGTTATGCACACCCCATGGACGACGTCGACAATTCACAATGGAAGTTTCATTCCCCTGACACTGAACATCGTCCAGCCAAATCTTTCCACTTCCTTGACCGAACCGGGCACTTTGTGGAGCACTGACAGCGGAAGAATACCCAAGTTGACGACAGACAACTCGTGCATCATTTATATCCCAGCCATCATCACAAACCGTTCCCCAGCTGCCTCTGTAATAGATCTCCACTCTGCCCTCTCTAGGCCCACTTCCTCCAATCAGTCTCAAAGTTGCTAGTGTATGAGTTAGAGGTAAATTCACATTTGGGTTTTGAAAAACTAACAAACAAAGCGAAAAAAACAACTCTAACGCTGCTACATCAGCTACTCCCATAATCCCGGGGGGTGGACTCCGCGTATGAAAGGGGTGGGGATGCTCGTCGTCTCGCTTAGGGGTGTAAATTTCGGAGTTCGGTCTCACTTAGGGTGCTCTGGGAAAAACGCCATCATATTTAGCCGTAGAGGTCTTGTTTAGGGTTGCACGCGAAAAAATATAAAAATATATATATTGTCTGTGTTAAAACATGGTCTCTTTTCGAGGTCAAAAAAACTTGGGCCACGCCCAGATCGGTCTCCTTTAGGGGTTTAATTCAAAATTCCCGACGAGCATCCCCACCCCTTTCATATGCGGAGTCCCCCCTCCGGGCCCATAATATCACTAATGACTGTAAACTTCGTCTTTTTGTGTAATCTGCACAGAACTCTGCGATGCTATTCGACTGAAATGTGCAAAGGAATAGAGGAATACCGCGCAACGTAACAGAAAAAGGCCAGGAATTTTTATTCTGAAAGAGCAACCACCAAGAGACCGGTATAAGGCCGTCATCTTTCTTACCTCCTCTAGTCTTCGATTTGGGCTGTTGACTGTAACGACGAAATAGAAAAAGATCCCGCAGAACTAGTTCCAATTAAATTCTTGAAATGGTTGCAAGGAGTAAATAAATACTACAGCAACAATGCATGTAGGGCTGAAACAGGAAAACTTCCAATAAAAATCGAAGCACAATATAGGAATTTTAAGTTTTGGATAACTTAACCAAACACCCAAAACACAAATTATCACAGGTGGTTTATAATGACATGACGTCGAGGATGAATAAGAAATTATGGAGCCAAAAAATCAAACGTGCATTAGACCAAATAGGGCTGGGATACCTCTGGACAAAAGCACATGAAAATGACAAAGGAATCTTGAACATTATCAAACAAAGACTGAAAGACATCGAATTACAAAGATGGTTAAGTGACGTAAACAATGACGTAAGAAAAGACGCCATCCAAAAGAACAAACTATAAAGAACCTTCCGAAATTTTAAAACAATAGAAAATTATAAATGGGAAGATTATCTCCGTCAGGTCACCAACATCCGACACCGGATAACTCTAACTAAACTCCGTCTGAGTAATCACAAATTGGCGATAGAGACAGGTCGGTATGTAAGACGTTATAAGAAACCGGAAGAGAGGATCTGTCCTATCTGTAAAAAAGGCGTAGAAGATGAAATACACATTTCAACTCTGTGCCCTGCGTATCAAGAAAAAAGAAGTACTTTATTTCAAAACTTAAACAACGAATACAGAATATCAGTAAACAGAATGGCGCCAGATGATGTTTTTCTGTTGTCAATAAACCCTCCGAGCAAGAACAAACCAGTGCAAAAGTTAATTGCAAAATACGTATTCGACTGCTGTGAGAAAAGAAGATCATTAGTTCTTTAGGTTAACATTGATTATAGTTCCACTAGTGTGCAATTTGTGTTATGATTTTAAATTATTTGCATAAAGTCGATGTAAATAGGACTGTATAAGACTCCAAATTAAGAGCTTAATTTTCCTTCGTTATACTGCTACATGAGAAATTTCGGCAATTTGATTGGCTTAGAGCAATGGTATTTCAGCTTAATTTGAAATACCTACATGTGAAAATTACAAACCTTTTCTGGGTAGTAGTATAAACAAATAATAGCATGATATGTACATGATATTTTGCATAAATACCACTCGTGATGTTTCAAGATTGTCTCAACAATTTCGAAATATCACTCGTGGTATTTATGCCAAATATCAGTACAAATCGTGCTATAACCTATACAAACTTGATTTAAAAATTAAAACCGCGCTCCGTAAAAACGCCTTGACATGCTGGCCAAGAGAGTATAATAGGAAAGAGAGTTAATCTTAGGGTGTTGGCGTAAATATGTGAATTTCACTAAATTAAGTTTTAGTGGTGGTAATTAACGAAGTCTCATTCCTAAGGCGTCCGCACATTTTTTTAAAGGAAAATTCAAACCCTCAAAGCAAAAAGAGCAGAATATTTGTAACGGCCACTGTTAAATTCCCCTTGACAACGCTGAATCAAGTTTGCGGACCTCTCCGGATACCAACTCCCGATTAATTCAAGCGTTTAATTGGTAAAGGAATAAGACTAGTGAGATTAACATATCCCAAGGGCTAGAATGGGCTTTTCCATCCCTGTCTATTATTCTCTCTTGCCTGGCCTAGCATTGGAGTTGCTTGCTCTGCACTGGATTATGGGCGGCGTGCCTAGAGCTGTTTAGGGATGGAATTAAGGCAAAGAGATCGTATTAACCTTGTGTAATGCCGGCCGGCCTTCTCTTTAGTTGACTACATGTAAAGGCTCAACTTTATAGGTTGCAATCTAGTTATTGTCACGCTTACGTTTTGAACAGATGACCGATGCATCTTCACGGTGACTACAGTCATGTACACCCCATGGACGGTGTCGACAATTCCCAATGGAGCTTTCATATCCCTGACACTGAACATCGTCCAGCCAAATTCTGCCACTTCCTTGACCGAACTGGGCACTTTGTGGAGCACTAACAGCAGAAGAATACCCAAGTTGACGACAGACAACTCGCGCATCATTTATATCCCAGTCATCGTCACAAACCGTTCCCCAGCTTCCTCGGTAATAGATCTCCACTCTGCCCTCTCCAGGCCAGCTTCCCCCAATCAGTCTCAAACCTGATGGTGTGTTATCACCAAAAAGATTTTTATTTGTATACGTGGGTTTTTTTGTGTTACAATTTGACTACGCACGCGTATTATTATTTTTTCAACCCCCCGCCCTTCTATCTTGACTTTGATAGATTGCGCAAGCATAATCTTTGGCAGCATAACTTTCATCTGTTTTCCGAAAAAAAGGCCTGCTAGCATGATTTACACTTTTGGCTAGTTTGACAGCAAAATAATGTCATTTGTTGATCGTGCAACCGCCTTTTTCCCCCACGAGATCAGCATTACGGGCAAATTCAAGAGTAACAAAATCAATTTTGCTTATTGTCACAATCATGGGACCTGGGTCCCACAGAAATTGACCCAGGACTCTTTCCACAACTGAAGACTCAACGCATGCGTATAACTAGCTCGGTTAAAGATGGCCGTCCGCGTGCTGAGTAATTGTTTGAGTTTTTAAAGTTGTCGGATAATGAATTATGCACTCCTAAAGTTTCTAGATGTAAATACATGTAGGATGAATGTGTTCGTCAGTAAATGATGTAAAGACGGCAAGAACGTTATAGAGAACCAATTATTTTACACTATTTGCGTGAATGTGCGATTTTGGCAAAATCAAATGTCAATCTTTATCTCTTTCTTTCTTTCTTTTTCTTTTACTTTACTTTTCTTTTTTTCTTTCTTTTTGGAAGAGGGAGGGGGGAGTGAGCTGGGGGTGCACAACAACAGTGACGAATTCAATCTATTATACCAATCATACTGCGATATATCATTTAGTAGTTAATTAAGCGATTTGCGACTAGAGGTTTGTATAAATGGCTGCGTAGGTGAAATTTAATGGAAATAATGTGAACTCGGCAAGCTAATTAGGGTAGGAAAAAATTATCTGTGGAGCAGTTTCAAATAGTCACACTCATGTGACGCCTGTCAAGTTATGGATCCGCCTACTAATTATTTCTAATAATAGATAGAATCACACAAAGTATTACAACAGCTTGTCCACCCAAAATATCGAGAAACGTCAAGTCGCTTTTTTTTCGCTGTTTTCTTATCTATGTTTACAATTTTGTCTTGGGTAAAACAGTAGGATTTGAATGTCTTCATTCCATAATTTATCGATTTTAATAGCCAGGGCTAAAAGCGAAGCCCCCATTAATAAATTTATAATTTAAATCACACGATAAACTTGTAATCCCCAAATTAGTTCATGAGACTTTTGAGGGAAAGGCTAAGTGATTTTAGAGTGAAACATCTTGCATCGAGTTGATAACCTTATATGTACACCCAAAAAATATCAATCATCTTCGATCACATTCAAGAGCCATAATGGCTCTTGATCACAGTACATTAGGCCTGGAAAACAAATCAGGCCGAATTTTTTGCGTTCGACAAATTTACTTTACAAAATCTTGCCAACAAATCTGGGGATGTGTAAACCAACTTTTTTTGCATCACATCTGAGGTGAAACCGTACTAGAGGCGCTGTACTAATCATACACTGACCTCGGACAGACGTCACAACTTTTCAAGACAAATTGCACTCAGTCAATATTTAGGACGATCAATCGTGGGCTTTTAGCAAATCGCTAAAACCGCTCAAAAAATTTCCAAAATCACCTATACGGCCAGCCGGTTCTCACTTTTGACAAGCGCTAAACTTGCAGAGCGAGCTGTGCTCTAGCCTCCCCGCAGACGTCTTTTGGGGTTCGTTTGTCACCCATTCATGAATGCGTGAAAAAAGAACCCCAAAGGATGTCTGCGGGGAGGCTAGCTGTGCTTGAGTGTTTGAACATAATACAGAATTTATTTTGTTTATTAAAATTTTAATTAATCTTTTTATAACGATGCGTAATCTTAAAAACTCGGCGTTTGATACGCGCTGCATTTTGACTAATCCTGCAAGCGATGTTCATGAACGACTGAAAACAAACGGCACAGCGATTAAAATTGCAAGAGAGACTACTAACAATCGATTAAAGAAATATAATTCGGTGAAACATTTACAGAGACAACAATTTTCAATCACGAAGGCAAGTCTGAAAGCTTAAAGCTTACTTTACTTTTTAAGCCTGCTTCCCAGTGTTTGATTTTTCAAAGATGAACTCGAGGCAAGAAAATCGTTCAAAGTTTTCTTTCTACAGCCACATTTATGAATAAAATATTCTTCGGAAAGTTTCTTTCTATTTGCGATGAGAAAATATATCTAGAGGCTTTTTAAAGTTTTGTAAGCCTATATCAAACCTTATACTAGTCAGATCATTGTCTCAAATCACTTACAACCGTGCATAAACTTGCCGCATACTGACTGTGCTCGTCTTCATGAAATTAGATATAAAAAACAAACATCAAATACAATAATTACTCGGGCTTACCATTCGGAATGCAGCTCCTGAAGAAAGCTCTCAAGTAAGGCCAGAATCGCGTGAGACTTTTAAACCCTCTTACGCATCAAGCAAGGTGAAAAACGAAAACGATGCCATCCGAAATCGGATTTCCGACTTTGACAAGCGACGCATTTCTCAACCAAAAACCCAATAAGAAGACTCTTGATAGCAGCTGTATTTCATTTTGTACATCAAGAAAAAGACAGTTTAAAACATTACAAGTTGACACAAAACTCTGCCAGCTTCAGCTGTCAAAGTAAACAAGTTTCAAGATGCTCCATAAATTTTCCGCATGACCTCACCTGTCGAATTTTGACCAATCAGAGCATAAAAAATGGACGTAAACCGTGACCAACGCATGACCATGGTAATAAAAGGTCTTCCCCGCCTGTACTTTAAATAACTGGCTGAATTTTTGCGTCCGAGGTCAGTTCGAAACAAAATCTTAATAGTGCGGGGCTATAGTGACATAAACACAGCACAATTCATATGAATCAAAAAAGAAATAATTTGAAAACTAGTAACTTGTCAGCGGTCGACACCTGAGCCCGCGATATGGTCAAGTGATACTGGTCAACGGATACCCCGTTCTTACAGCTGCCAGTTGATCACAACATTGTTGTGCTATATGAGGGCTAGAAGGTGGACCTCATAAACTAGCTAGAAAGCGTGAGAGTAAACATTGGTCCCAATGTTGTGCGGACGGACGGTCGTTCGCTCGGTGTACGGTCACGTGATTACCAAATTTTCTGGGATGGTTAGATTTACTTAGCTATGGGGCTCCGCGCGCGCGCCTGGAGCTCCGCTTTAAAACGTTATTTAGGAGTTAATGAATGAGGCTGAGTAGGATATGAAGAATTAAGCAGATCGAGGAGGGTGTTATCCACAGAGGCCGAAGGCCGAGGTAGATAACACCACCCGAGATCTGCTTAATTCTTCATATCCTACGAAAGCCGAATTATTTAATTGCTTTATTATTCATTCAAAATGATTCCTAGTTTAAAAACATAGCTAAAACATGCTTACCTGCATCGATGTAAAGTTTATCTTCGATAGTGTGCGTTTAGGTTTGTCCAGCTCCGCAAATAGGGACTTTAAGATCCAACGAGGCGACGGCGACAAGAACGTCGCTTAAAAAGTGAATTTGCGTTCTTTCAGTCTTTATAGCGATTATTTCTGCCCCCTTACTTTGTCAATTGTTGACGACCGCTCCTGAAGCTGAATTTCAAGGGACCATTTTCAAGCTCAGAAAGAGAAATAAACTTTCGTCGTTGCTTGTTTACGTCCTCCATAAAACGCGAAATTAGGCATTTTCACGTCGTAGTCGTGTAAAAACGGGAAAATAAATGTGCAAAAAAGTGTGATGCACGTGCGAAGTTGCTGTTTTGCTAATTAAACCTATTGTCATTTTGACGTTCTTGTTGTCGTCCGCGACGTTGGATCTTAAAGTCCCTAATATTCTCCAAATAGCAGATGTCGCCCTCCGAGTTGTCTTCTTGCTGTTTTTGCTATGTTTTTAGCCATTATTTCGCCTAGTTCCAGCTGTAGTTCTTACTCTTGAAACGAGTGAAGTGTTCGCCATTTTAGTTTTCACAACGAAAACAACTCAACCTCGTCCCCAGGTCTTCTCGGTTAACGGTGCATTCACCTGTAAAAGGCTGCATTTTTGACGTCATTTCCTCGTTTAACACAAAATTGTTCCAAATTTGGTCATCAGTAACTGGTTATGGTGAATTTTGCGTGTGCTTCTAGCCAATCAGAATTGGGGAAGTATTTTGAATGAATAATAATACAATTATAACAGCACCTGGTGGGGTTGAAGAACTTATAGGTGACTACAAATGGCCGGCCTTTTATTTTTTTACAGTGGAACCTCTATTCAGTAGACACCCTCGGGTCCAACGCAAGTTTTCCCTGAATAGAGGTGTCCCTTGAATGGAGGTGGTCGGACTGGGGTTTGTTAATAATTAACCAACATATAAAGTTTTTTTTTATTCTGTCTCGGAATCTGTTGCAGTCATTATTTCAAGCATCTAGATAGTGTACAAAAAATCCTAATTAAATTATCTCTGTGCTATGGTGTGTTTAATTCCCACAAGAGTTATACATCGTTTTTAAGAGAGATAGTTCATGTTTTGAATGCTGTCACCGTTTTGACTAGTGAACTGCACTTAAACTTATCAACGAATTTTGCCGTCTGTCACCTTTTGGGTTTCGGGACCCAGAATAAGTGTCCCTTTCCCCTGAATAGAGATTTCCCTTCAACAGAGGTAACAAATAGAAAGATTATGAATGTGAACATTTTTGCTGGCTCCCCCTGAATGAAGGTTTCCCTTGAATACGGAGGAATACGGAATAAAAAGCGAATAATTATAAAATACTAGCTATTTATTATCATGCTTACTAGAACAGATCACTGATGCATCCTCATGGTGACCACAGCCATGCACACCCCATGGACTGTGTGGACAATTCACAATGGAACTTTCATCTCCCTGACACTGAACAACGTGCAGCCAAATCTTTCCACTTCCTTGACCAAAAAATGCCTTGTTTGGAGCACTGATAGCATGAGGATACCCAAGTTGACGACAGACAACTCGCGCATCATCTATATCCCAGCGATAGTCGCAAACAGTTCCCCAGCTACCTCTGTAATAGATCTCTACTCTGCCCTCTCCAGACCCTCTTCCTCCAATCAGTCTCAAACCTATAGCTAATGGTATATAAGCTAGAGGTTATTCATCTTTTGGTCTTGAAACAAATAAAAACTTATTTGATTATGCAGGCGTTAGCTTCAGGGCTTTAGCGTTTGCTAAAAGTGCTCGAATTTGAGCAAGTCTCGGTTTAAAGTAAATGTTCTAAAGCGATGGGGATCAGCAAAAGCCGTCATGTTATTTTCCAAGCCCTCCCTCACTCCCTCCCGCCCTGGCCTCTGTAGTGAGCCAAATACAAAAAACCCACCAGATCTATAGGGTTTCCAAACACAACCACCTTTATTGTACCAATCTGGTACCAATCAGGTAAGGTACAATATTTAGCCAGAAGCTCTTTTCAATTATATATAAAACCCTGCGTGAAGGTGTCAAAATGTGCAGCGGCAAGCTTATTAAGGTAGAAAAATATCTTTAAAACAGTTTCAAATAATCAGTGGACGTTTGAATCCGCTATCTGCAAAAAAGTTGCTGGATCCGCCATAACACAAAATAGATCTTAATTTTGGTCTGCCATGGTCAGTAATTTTTTTCTAATAAATTGAAAAAAATCACATTATTCAGCACCTGCTGGTGTTGAAGAACTTGTAGGTGAAGTAAGCCTTTGACTTGTTGAGCTTGAAGTTGAGCGATGAGTTGATTTAAACGTCGATGGTGAGGGTGGGATCGTCGTTGGCGCTGAGAAAAAGTATTACAGGAATTTATTAATAAAATGTTATAGTCATTTTAACTCGTGAAGGAAACGAGCCTCGTCGTCATCATCATCATCATCATCATCATCATTATCATCATTATAATATTATGATATCATTATCATCACGATTGTATCTAAAGAAGATAACATGATGCTTGGTTTTGGACTCGTTGGCTAACCTGTAGGAACCAACCAAACAAACAATCAAACCAAAAAAAAAAAACGAATCTCCACAATGTCTCGCAAATTATGTTCACGCTACATGCTCCGCGTTGAGACCTGTGCCCGAGTATGGTTCTACCTGGATACCAAAGTAAACGCACTTCACGCAAAAGTTCATACATGCTGCCTGCCAAGAACGAAATGCAGACCTTGGTATTCGGGCATTTGTACCCTCATTAGGTGAACTTGCTTTCTGCCAATTTCCAAGGCACATATTGACAAAAATCAGAATTGTTATTTTTCATTATAAAACCATTCCATTTCACATAGTGGCGTTTATGACTTCAACACGCTTTTCTTCTCGGAACGTTTATAATATTGTTCGATTTCACTGAATTCCTCTGATAAATAGAAGGGAACGTTCATATTCTGTATTAAAAAATTAGTCACAAATTCAATGAATTGTTTACATCAAGTCTTTGTTATTTTGTTATAGACACATTTCTTGGAAGTGTGCTTAATATATGGCATGTTCAAAAAATGTGCGTTGTGACCAGGCGCCTTGCTCTGTTGTGGACAACATTCTACAACCACACATTAAAGAAATTTCCTCCATGCACCTAGGTGTGTATGTAGTGCCATTGACTTAGCAAGGCAAATCCGTTCTTCATGATGATTGCTTGTCATAGAAATCTACCAGGATGATAACACATTTTTTGGTGAAAGTGCATCGATCTGCATCATCAGTAAATCTTATTAAAATTACCTCCGTCGATGTTAATAGCGCATGTTTATCGGAAGTTTAGGAGATAAAGGGCTGTCCAGGTCTGCAAATGTGCTCTAAATAACAGATGATTTTCTTCGAGTTGTCTTCCTGCTATTCTTACTATGTTTTTAGACAATAGCTCCCGCTGAAACGAGTAAAATTTTTCGCCATTACTCACTTTGAAAACAACTCAAATACTTTCCCAGGTCGTCTCGGTTAACGGTTTAACAATCTCCAACTTTGCTGCACTTTTGACGTCATCGGTTCAATATGGCAAAATTCTTCCAGATTTGGTCAGCAGTAGCTGATTATGCGTGTAATTTTAGCCAATCAAAAAGGGAGAATTTACATTAAATGAATAATATTATCCATTAAAACCTCTCCAGTTAAGGAGAGAAATAGGAGAAAATAAAAATTAAAAGGGAGAGGGGTAAGTAAAACATTGTGCAGAGTGTAAAAAAAGGATGGCTTGCCTTTTTTGACTATTCTACAGAATCTTTAATCAAATCTTTGTGGAATGCAATTATTTTGAAGGGTCATAAAGTTGATTTCTTGTGTCTGAAGAAACGTGTCTGGTTTTATTACGAGTGTTTAGTGATTAGTTCCGTGTTCTAATTGATCCTTGTTAAGTCATTAATTGCTTTCTTTTCTGCGTGTTTTTGTAATAATACTACAGAGCTGAACTGATTTGTATGCAACGGTGGGCTTGTTAACTCGGCGCATGATTAACTGACTAACGGTGAGTGAAACGCTGAGACTTCAATAGTTAGAAAGGAGAAGTGAGATAGAAAGAAGAAAACGGTTTTGTAATAGTCAAACAAACTTGAACTAAAGAGTTTTCAGCTCCACTTTGTGTATGTGTGGGTTGGCTTTGTTTATATATCCGAGTTTTAGCGCGAAATCAGAAGACATAAGCTAAATTGAAATAAACACTTTTCATCACCACGTTCTGTATGTGTTTTGTTTATATATCTGAGTTTTAGCGCTAAATAAGATAAAGTGAGCCGTTTCTCGCGTTGCTAGGTGATCGCTTCTCTTATTCGTATTTTTTTTTTAATAGACGGTCCGAAAACTGGGCTCAAGGTACTTAACGGGCAAGCCTAGGCAAGCCTATTGTTCCTATTGCGTTTTTCCATATGAAAAGAAACGACTATCCACTTAATTATGTATGGAGGAAGACCCTCATTAGTAAACCACCGAATTAGTATGGAGGAAGGCACTAAATTAGTATGCAGGAAGACACTTTTTTCCTGGGTTATAAAAAGGGGTGACGTCATGGACTCGGCCCTTATGCATATCAATGATTTACCTATACCTATACACTAACGGGGCTTTATTTCCAACATAATAGACTACCTTTTTCATCTGAAAATAAGAACCTATTAACCTAAATAGGCTAAACTTATGCTTACTACTATTTATTTTAGAACCGGTTTAGGCTAACTTGGAGAACTTCATGTTCTTAGACGCTGGGTTTTACTGTACTTTAAAAGAGAGATTCACCTTTCTCTTTAATTTCATAAACGAAATTAGTGTTTGCTTCTCCAACACACTCTACATCATCGCTGACATTACATTTTTGCATGACACCTTTCGTAAGACAGCTTTCGGACGGGCCAGCTCGATCATAGGTTTTGGCAGCATCTGATCCAGACCAACACTCACCTTTAAGAAAAATTGCACGACGGCATTACTTAAATAATTATTGGTTCAGTATTTAATTATTGGAGACCGTTAGGCCCAGTTTAAATGGTGGTCTACCTAAATCTGAAATTGTTCAATTTTGGATAAGTGAGCAGACGGTGGTGTAAATAACTTGAGATAGCTGACTGCACTGGCTGTGATTATTAAAAAAACTTGTTATACTTGTAATATATTTTTTAGATAGCCTTCGATTTTATTCCCTGATCCCCTCCCTCTCGCCCAGCAATGTGTGCCAAAAGAAGAACTTGATTGTACCCAGTCTTGTTCAATCAACATTATTGTATTAGGAGCAAGGAGATCTACTATTGTCACAATTTTATTAGCAAGGGAACTCCGCTTTACGCTAGCGTATATATTACTAACATTCTGAAGGAAAATAAGATTTAAACGAATAAAGCAGGAAACATTTCCATTTTATAAAACAATTTAGGATCAATTGAGGCCTTTCTGGGTAACTAACCACCTACCCCTCCCCTAAGGCACAATTTTTCCCTAAGTGGACTTAGGGAAAGGGTGGGTCGTCAGTTACCCAGAAACCTCTTACTATATTCACTTGTCAGTTACCTTAATACTGAAAGCTGAAGGGTGAATAGTTCCTTGCCCTTGACTCATTTCCAGGTTTCTCACAATTTTGCTCTAAGTGGACTTAAGAAAAGGGTAGGTACTCAGTTACCCGAAAAACCTCGAACTATATCTTGACAGTTACCGTAATACTGAATGCTGAAGTGGGAATAGTTCCTTGCCCTTGACTCATTTGCACATCTGCAAACCAGATCAACTATGTATGTATCCCAGTTGGGCCAGCCGATGGTCTTACCACTCCACACATCGCTGCTGACATCGCGATCGGTAAAAACGAGGACAGGTACTGGTCGAGGGTTCTTTCTGTCATCTTTGAAACAACCGACTTTTTTGTAGCTGAAGGCACAACCTGTTTCAAGTGATCGCAAAATCGTTCATGTTAACAGGGTAAAAAGGCAAACCCGAGAAAAGTTTCCATGCACAATACACTGGCCAGGCTATAAAACCCAAAAAAGAAAATGGATCTTGTCAGAAGAATTAATGATAAAGCGCATCAAAAATATCTGTGAAATAAAACAAACTAAAGCTGTTGCTGTTAGGGATTTTTTTTCTTTCAAATTTTAGTATGTTATTTCGACTGCAAGCATTTTCTCAGGATTGTCGCCCGGGCGAGCATTTTAGGTGCGAGCACATTACGGAACGGCTCCTGTAGATCCGTGTCGCCCTCAAAATCGCGGGTCCCGTGACTATTTGCGCGCTCACAAAGGAAGCCGATGCATGTCGCGTCCTTTGATTCAAGACTCAAGTGTTAGCGTATTGTTTCCACGATACAAAGGTAATTTAACTTAAAAAAATCAATAGATCGAAGCTTACGCGCTACTCTCTGTTTAATACGGAAATGCAAACGCTCAATTTGATAAATATTTTGACTTCATAAGATATTTTAACGATTTAGGCCGGCGGGGAAAACCCAAGAGGGAGACCAACGAGGGACTGCACCAGAGTGCATGCTAACAGCTGGTTATATGATACTGAGATTAGCTCAGTAAGGCTTATTGCGGAGCAGCATTCACTTTCGCCTCTTAGAAGTAGGAGCAGTGAAAATGTAGTTACTAATTCCTGACTTACTAGCTTTAGGGTATTAAATCTAAAACAAATGGAAATTATTCTTTTCATTATTAGCCAGGGTAATAGGCCTTTTGCAATAGTTGGTCACGTGATCAACTTTCTTTAAACATGAAAACAGTCAGCTTTTGAAAAATTTTGTTAGCAGGAACTGAAAGAGCATATTAAAATTAGGTAACCTCTGAATTTTCAGCCGTATATCTCAAAAGGACCGATTGCAAAGCCCGCCGAAAATTAAAAGGATTTGTATGAGAAAAACAACTCTTGCCACCCAGTCACGTTTGAGTGGTTTTCTATAAAAATCCTCGTAAATTTCGAATTAATAATAAACAGATGTCAATTTAATAATAAACGGTTAAAGCAGTAATTGTCATCACGTAATAGAACTGGTATTTCCCCACTGCGGATCCTGGTCCCAGGACAATGACTTACGATCTGCAGATTCCACAGCATCTGAGACAGCAACTGAAAATTAAGAAAATGAAATTATTATAGTAATTATGCAAGCATTTTGAAGGCCTCAAAATTGCCCAAAAGCTATCTGGATGGTGCTGTGGTGTGAAACGTGATAAGATTTGTAAAGTAGCAAGAATACGGTAATCTACCCTCTCCGGAGCCTAAGTATGCTCAATATAGGCACAGGGAATGGTCAAGCCAGTAATGTATTTCACACTGCACAGCAGCAGTCAATGTACGAAATAATTTAGAGACTTTAAAAGTGCCTTATATCGTCTATTAATTGTCTATTAAACAATTATTAGCAAAACTTTTAAATTTCGGCTAATAATTATTTCCTTAATTTTGTTCCTACCATTGTGCGGTTGAATGTTGAGGTTAATACGTTCATGATTTTCATCACGAACAGAGTATAATGAATGCATATTTCTAACATGAACGTATTACCTTAATTTGATTGTTTCAATAAAAACGCAACAGGGTTTTGGGCCCCTGGAAATAACTATATCTCAATATAGCTAGGGATCGAGACTTTTTTGCGACACAAATTAACAAAACCGCTCTTCTTACTTCTCGAAATTCTGTTTAAGGTACGTAAACATGGAATAGTCTATGTTAAAATGATGAAAATTAAACACAATTTAAACCAATTTCTACCTCCCAATTTTAGGGTAAATTATTAAAGTCATCTGCAAAGAATCTTTTTGAAACAGGCTTTTAACAGACTTTCCATCAAAATGGATCATTATTATCTGTACGCATGAAAGTGCTGTAGAAACTATTTACAGGATGAATTGCAGCTTGGAATAGCGCGAGCTGGTTTGAAAGGCAGTCTTTAAACATAACGAAAATCTGTTTTCAAAAATGTAAAGACATTTACCATGCAATGAGTTGGACCACTGGAACGAAACAAGTAGCAAAAATGCTTGTAAGCGCATCGTTCTGAGTTGAGAGAATGCCCCGCACGTACAGAATGATATATTACTCTACGAGGCTATCACATAAATCTACTGAGAACTTTTAGTGATTCAATATTCTACCTTCAACCCCAAAAAAGCGGGTGTAAGTGGGGTCATCGATGAGCTGTTCCATTCAATCCTTTTAACGTTTTTTTTTTTCACCCAAAATGCACGATATTCTAAGATGCCTCGAATAAGGTATCAGCTATTATTAGCTGTTTTCTTAAATACTTGACAAGGTATAATCATTCTCATTTGTCATATTTTGAAACATAACGAGTGATTCTTTCAAAGCAATACAATATAACGCACACAAACATATCATGTTACATACTAAGATTTATCTGTAACTAGTAGTTTGCACATACATAATTATTTGAAACAAGCTGCCTCGTTTCATTTTTAAATTTTGTAGAGAGGGGAGAAGTTGCTCGTGGCGTAAGATGGCTATTTCCCGTCCTATAAAATGACCGCTTTACATTAGATGTTTTAAGTGTCCCTACTCCCTCCCCCCCAAAACAAACAACCGCACAAACAAAAAGTTAGGTCAACTTTAGTTTAAAATCACTCCCCAGGAGTTAATCCCGGTCTATATATATATTGTCTATACAACGACTGTTCTGGATTACCTTCCAGTTGGCGAAACCGCGCAACTTCAGGAAATTGTATATGATGGATCAAGGCTTTGTGTCTCCCGTGCATTGTATAACCTTGGAATCTGGATAACCCCCCCTCCCCCCACTACTGGATTCCAGATTCCCTGTCAGTGGAACTTGGATTCCGGATTCCTTAAGCTGAAATTCTGATCACCACAATTCGGATTACATCGGGCGATATGATCCGGGGGCGGATCTAGGGGGAGGCTGTAGGGGGTGCGAAAAAGACCCTCCCCACTCAAGATGACCTGCGCCTTTCCAATACAACTGGCATTCTGCAAAAAAAAAGTCTTTGTGGTTTATTGGTGTAGAAGTCAAACATAGGACGAGCTTGAAGAACTTGTGTTAAACGCCGTAAACCTCCTCCTCCTTCTCCGCCTCAGAATAGCTGTCCACCCTCCTCGATCTGCTTAATTCTTCATATCCTAACCAGCCTCATTCATTAGTTACTAAATAGTCAATCGTATTTTAAATTACGTAACGCTAGTTGCTTATTTTACGTCACTGCGTGTCATTTACTTACAGGTTGCATAGATAACATAGATCACATACTGATTTAAGGGGGAAAAAAGGAACAATTTTGGCTAGATTTAGAGCTTCGCATTACAGTAGGGTTTAGCGAACCAAGAAATAACCGCAGCGTTATTGTATTTCTCTTTTGTCAAAGTATAAGTCATTGATATATTAAGAGCTCTAGTTTAGAACGGAATAGACATTTTGAGTGTAACATTGAACGGGCTTTGAGAGAGAATGAACGCATTTAGTGGAATTGAAAAATACAGTCCTTGATCGAAACCAGCGCCGCGAAATATTCCCGAACATATCTCTCGCGTAGTATTTTCTCAGAAACCTCACCGGAAAGGGACACTCTAAAAACTTTTACTGCTACTGAAAACAAAACAAAACAATCTTAAGACTATGGATTTGACGTCAAAATACTCGATTAACCATAGAGCAAAAACTGAATTTAGCAGTGAAACTGCGAATGTTCAAAATCTGTTTCAAACTCTCGAAAATATGAGTTCCAGAAATCACCCGGAGACATGAAGTCTCTTTCGTTTCCCCTGTTTGAAATCGAAGCAATATGATCTAATGTCTGGCTGTATTATAATCTCAGAGTGAATATTAGATATATTTTTTAAAAGAAGAGTTGATATATTCGAAAAAAAAAAATGACATTTTAATATCACCAGGGAAACAGCTACAGGGTAAAGGCATCTACTAGTACTGACCTTAAGATACACTGTTTCTGCCTAGGGGTATGGGTAGGCGAATATCTTCGCCATGTAGTTATAGAAAAGGCGACCATTATTTCCCAGTTTCTCCGGGGTAAGAGGGAATCTACCCGTATCTACGGCTACGCGTAAGGGTAATTTAGCCCTACTTGTTCATGGAAATTGTGTATCTTTAGGTCTTTATTATACGGGCTCGTGGCGGTAGAGCAAATCATGAGTTGCAAAGTTGCTTTATCTCCATGACATTTATTGCATCTCTTACATCTTGAAAATTATTATTGATACTGAAGTTCAGAACTGAAAGAGCTCTGAAAAGTTACACTGATTAGACAGTAATGCGGAAAAAATAATTATTTTTCAAATAGGCCATTTCCCATTTCCAAAAACACTCAATTTCAAAACGAGCCCAAGTGCAAAAGCTTTCTTGCGAAAATGAGTTTTATTTGCATAAGTATAAAAAGTTGGTTTCATAACAATGGCTTCGCACTTCGCCTCGCTTTGAAACAGAGGCGAGGGGGCAACTCAAAAATGGCCTATTGGTCTCTTGAAGATTGCTTTGAACTGCTGACAGTTATCACATCGTTAAAACTTGCGGAAAAAAGAAACACAACATGCATGATACATGTTGTGTTCCAAATGGATTTCCACTGACACGTAAGTTTTGTGTGCGTACGTCAAGTTGGCTTTCCACTGTCGCATAATGTTTACACGCGTGACTAACATAGAGACAATGTATGGAAGGTCACGCGTAAACGTAAAAGTTGAACCTCACTCAACTTAACTGAGATTTCTGTACTTCTCTGTTATTTTATCATTATTTTTTAATTTTGTGTAATTCACGCCGAGTCAGCAGATCAGAATGCTTGAATCTATACTCTAGGGACTGCTTTTACAGTTTTTATCCGTTTGAGCTCAAAGTTTGCAGGATGGTAGAACTTTTGTATTCCAAACAATCGTATGCGTTTTTGTTCTCTTCTATTTGAACAGGGTTTTTGTGTGAAAAAATGACCCGATTTCCCTCGATTTAAACGGTTTTTTTGTAAAAAAAAAAATGGCTTGTGACAGCACCAAACCAAGTAAAAATGGGTAAATGATGAAGAATAACCATCCCCCTTCTCCACTCGGATAATGTCGAAGAAAGTGTGAGGGTTTGTCACTGCTGTCACGAATTATTAACATGACAAATGACATGCTTTGTTTGTTTGTAAATCCTATCATAACGAGACAATTTATTTTTTCCTTCCGTTGGCATGACATTTTAGATAATTCACTATATACCATTTTTGGCGGGAATTTATATAGGGGACAGGTATAAATGGCTCTCGTTGTACAAAAACTTATCCCAAGAAGGCACTTAATTTGTGGACAATTTTTCAGCTCTTTCTTTCCTTTTTCCTAGATAGTTCACATAAAATTAAGCTATCGCTAGACAAATTGTATATACATAAACGGATTTTTACCGTAAAAAGGTCACCTAGAATTTTCGGGAGCCTTCTTTCTGGCTGAAATTTTCGAAAAGGTAAGTTTTGATCCCTATAATTGTCAGATCACTAGACTTTCAGCAAGGAAATCCGAACAGATGAAAAAGTTTTAGGGGATAAAAATATGCGTATATCTACCGTTTAATTTTTTATATTTCAGCATCCCTTTTTTGCAAAAAGGATATTTGTTTGAGATAATATAATTTTGAAGCAAAATAGCATCAAGTCCTAAATCAAGACACTGACACACGAAAGGTTTGGGGACTATTAAACCGAATCGACATAGAAAAACCAGTCAGTTCCATTTGCGAAATACGAAGGTGTTTTTGGTGGACTAATTCACATCCTGAAAGTGGCTGAAGGGATGGTAATTTTCTGATAAAAGAATTATTTAATTGCATTTATTCTTTTAAATTGGCAGTGTTGAATGGTGGCTATACTGACGGACTAAATAAAATCGAAGAAGTCATTCATGTTACGCGTACGCCAAAATTAGACCCACTGTTTCATATATTCCTGTAATAGACTGTCCATACTCATGTATAGCCTGTATACCCATGTACACCCTGGCGTAACATGACAGAATAACCGATCGCCCAATTGTCGCGATGCCCCGGTCGATCTGCTTGTCACTCTAGACCAGACAGTCTCTTCCTCTTGCCTTTATACACCCAATTGTTATTTTTACGTTATGACAATAACTTTTATTTCTTCAGCCGTTGTTTCTAACATATAGTAAAAAATTATAATTGCTGCAGTCTTTGAACCATTAGTTTAAAAAGTCTTAGCAAAATTAAAATGCTACCACCTTACTTTTTTCTAAGCAAAAATTCAACATGTAACGCAGTTTGCTTCCGCCTTGAACTTATCATGATAAAAATGATTTGCTTTTTAATTGAAGTACAATTAATATGTCGTTTTTGTTCTTAATGTTTTTTTTGTACTTCTTCAGTTATAGTTTAAAAAACCCTCGATACTTGAGTTCCACAATGCATTGCTCTAAATACAACCAGCCATATTAGAACAGCTACCCGCTCCTTAAGATCGTATATATGCTCAGATTAACTTTACTTCTTGAAGACTACTTTTACTAACAGCTGATGGCTTTATATCGTCAACACCTGCTGGAAAATAGAAAAAAAAAGTATCAAATTATTATTATTATGCATTGTCTTGTGTTCATGAGTCCTCTAGATCAGTCATTGAAAACTATTTCTATCAGTGATCCAGAAAACTAAGGTGCTTAACTTAAGAGTGCACGTGTTCGTATGCATCAAAAACGGCCACCTCAAGTTTTGCTATTGAACACTGATGTTTATCTCTTGTGTTCTTCCTCTCAAAGTTAAAGAATCGCGCCCGTTCTCCAAAACAATGGAAATTAACTAGTATGTACAACACGTAAGGCTAACCGAACGAGGTTTAACGTTTTCGAATAATCCTGATGGCTCTTATCAACCCAAAAAGGCAGCTCTCGGTTGTATAAATTCTGTCCAAACTTGTGTTTGAGAATGAAAGTGTATGGTAATGACTTTAAAGCAAAGGAGAATACAATTTAAGCCCCGACACATCCCATCAATAGTCAGGACGGTCTCTAACTTTGATAAGCTGTTCTCAAATTGTCATTTTTTGAAAACCAAATTAATTGTTGTCCACGACTTTGCAACACGCAAACACACGAAGGACTTAACAACTGTTGCGTACATAACACGACCTACGCCATGGGAGCTGGTCACCTTACTAAACTGGTAAAAAAAGCAAATATTATCCAGTAGTCTGTGGGGAAACGATTAAAGAGGAAGGGATTGAGGAAAATGTGTTTACCTCTGGAAAGATCCCAGCTAGGTCCCTGTGGTAAAGAAGTAGACAATTCGAAAATGTTAGTTTAGATACTTCACTAAGATGATGCCATGTTAATAGTAACATTTCTTACACCTGTGTGTTCTTCTCTATTCATGAATACTGTTGTGTCTGACCAAATAAAATACTTCCTTTAACCATAAACTATAACCAATTTTTTATTTTATACGCGCGTAGGCCCGAGTAGCCTTTGCAGATATACAAAAACGTAATGCAAAAAAGTGCGATTAAAAAATTGAGTGCTATCCTTCGCGTGGATAAACTTATTTTTATGGGGCTAATATAACTCGCTTTGTCTTAAAAGTACTGGAAGTATTAAACAGAAAGGTCATTTATTTGAGGTGAAGAATTCAGTACAAGTCCGTTGAATAACATCTTTGGCGCGTTTTAGATTTCTCTTTTTCTTTAATTATGACGTCATTGGACACTAAAGTTAAGGACTTTTAGTGGTCGTTAAAGACTGAAACACTTCTTCGTGATTTCTGAAGTATGGCCAGGACCTTAAGCAAGCGCATACCAAAATCACCTTGGAATTGGCAGCCATGGACAACTGTTTCGCCCTTTTGATAGACTGCGAGCAGTCCCTCTTCAGTCAGTCAAGTCTAAGCTTGGCAGGACTGGAGAGAGCGAAATGGCCAGCTTTCCCTCGGCTTCTTGTTTTTTACTTTCGCTCGCTTCGCTCGATTTCCTCGCTCGCGTGACCATCCTGAGGGACTACTAGCAGTCTACCCTTTTGAGTGGGGGCTCATCAGAGTGATCATTGCATTCAGATGGTTCAGCACAATGACATTATTGTTTACATGTACTAAGCGTCTATAGGGATTAAGGCCTGGATTCTGGGCTCAAAAGAGTGTTGTAAAACATGATTGATTAGCAATCTCCCTTGCTAAGATACCACGAACGAACAGGATGAAATTTTCCCCGAATGGAAATCTTGGGCCCGGGTTTTCAGCAGCCTTGACGTATGTTTATGGTCACGTGAAACGCCACTTGATCAAAAGTTTGAAACAAATCATATGAAAATGTAGAAAGTAATGGCGAGGAGGCCTAAAGGAAACCATATGAAGCTAATGAATGTTAATTAGGCCTCGCTCAATTATAATTTTTAAAAGATGACATAAAATTACGGTCACGGATACAACTATTACCAAATATTATCATTACAATTATTATCATAAGTGTATTAGAAGTTTACAATAAATTTTTTGAGTAATTTAAGTGTGAATTTGGCCTTTGAAATGGTGTTTGTCCTCATGATTATTTTTATCAAAGTGCAATGGACTGTGAAGAAAAATGTTATTAGATGATTTCTTTTCTAAAATCGGTCGCCAATTCGTTACTTATTTGAGACTTTCAGTAAGAATGGTCACGTGACAGTTCACGCGGGGTACTAAACGGATACCAGTAGTACTTTAAAATGTTCAAGGACCTTAATGTCTCTCTATATATACCATTTCGACTCAGTTCCATCCTCTGCCAAAATTATAGCCGATAAACCATTTTTTTTCCTATAGGCAAACTCGATCACTAACCCATGGCTTTAAACTACTTGAGATATAACTTCAATGCGGGCCTTTTTATAAAAGGAAAGAATTGATTGAAGGCTCGATTCTGATAATACTACAATAAAATACAGCCTATTTACTATCTCGCTCACTTGAACAGATCACTGATGCATCCTCACTGTGCGCACAGTTATGCACACCCCATGGACGATGTCGACAATTCACAATGGAAGTTTCATTCCCCTGACACTGAACATCGTCCAGCCAAATCTTTCCACTTCCTTGACCAAACCTTGCACTGAGTGGAGCACTGACAGCAGAAGGATACCCAAGTTGACGACAGACAACTTGAGCATCACTTTTATCCCAGTAATCGTCACAAACCGTCCCCCAGGAACCATTGTAATAGATCTCCACTCTGCCCGCTCCAGGCCTTCCTCCAATCAGTCTCAAAGTTTCTAGTATATAAGTTAGAGGTAAATTCTTATTTGGGTTTGCAAAACAAACAAACAAACAAAGCGAAAAAACAAACAGCTCTATTCCCCCATTTGTTATCCTGTCATGCACACAGAATATTTTAAAATGAAAAACTTTGTCTTTTTGTGTTAATCTGCACAGAACTTCTGTGATAATATTCGACTTAAGTGTGCAAAGTAATCGGGGAATACTGTGAAACGTAGCACAACTAGGCTATAGGGATTTGCATTTTGAAAGAGCAACCATCAAGAGACCGGTATAAGGCCGTCATCTTTCAGCTACCTCTTCGATGACCATATTATTGAGGAACAGAACTTAACTTGAATTTTCCCTCGAAACTTGATTTAAAAATAAACCTGTCTGTGCAAACGTCTTGACCTACTGGCCGAGAGAGTTTGATGGGACCGGAAGAGAGGGAATCTTAAGGTGTTGGCGTGGATTTGTGAATTTCACTAAATTTATTTTTAAACATCATTCCTAAGGCGTCCGCACATTTTAGTCAAGTCCACAAATCAAACCCGCAAAGCAAAAAAAAGCAGAATATTTGCAAAGGCGGCTATTGAATTCTCTCTTGACAACGCTTAATCAAGTTTGAACAACAGTGGCGAATCAAAGGTGAGAGTCCGGGGATGATTCCAAAGCCCCTTATGTATTACATCAATTATGCTGTGATATATCAGTTACTAATCAATTTAGGCGATTTGTGACTAGAGGTTTGTGTAAATGGCTGCGTAGGTGAAATTTTAATAGAAATACTGTGAACTGCAAAAGAGTAAGAAAAAGTATCTGTGGAACAGTTTCAAATTGTCACACTCATGTGACGCCTGTCAAGTAGTGGATCTTCCTTTGCACCATGTAAACTATTCCAATGGGTCTACAATTATATAGTCAGTAATTTCAAAATTTCTAATAATAAATAGAATCACACAAACTAAGTGTTACAGCAGCTTGCCCACCCAGAATATCGGGAACTTCTCGGGTCCAGGGCAAGTTTACCCTGAAGAGAGGTGTCTGCCCTGAATGGAGGTTGGGCTGGGGTTTGTTAATAACTAACCATCAAATAAAACCCTTTTTTTATTCTGCCTCGGAATCTGCTGCAGTCATTATTTCAAGCATCTAGGTAATATACAAAAAAATCCTAATTAACTTATCTCTGTGATGTGGTGTGTTGAAGTCTCACAAGTGTAATACATCGTTTTCAAGAGAGATAGTTCATGTTTTGAAAGCTGTCGCCATTGTGACTAGTGAGCACTTAAACTTATCAACGAATTTTGCCCCTAGTCAGCTTTTGGGTGCTGATTAAGATGTTCCTTGAACGGAGGTTAAAGCCGGGTTTTGGGAGCCAGAAAAAGTGTTCCTTTCCCCTGAATAGAGATGTCCCTTCAATAGAGATAAGAAATAAAAAGGTTATGTCTGTGAACATTTTTCCTGGGACTCCCCTGAATTTTCCCTTGAATACGGAGGTGTCCCGAGAGGGTCCATCGTAATTGACATCCGGCTCAAGTCTAATAAAAGCTATGATAATTATAGATTACAATTTATTTATTATTAAGCTTACTTGAACAGATCACTGATGCATCCTCACTGTGGCTACAGTCATGCACACCCCATGGACGATGTCGACAATTCTCAATGGAAGTTTCATTCCCCTGACACTGAACTTCGTCCAGCCAAATCTTTCCACTTCCTTGGCCAAACCGTGCCCTCTGTGGAGCACTGACAGCAGTCGACGAATACCCAAGTTGACGACAGACAACCCCCGCATCTTTTATACCCCAGTTATCGTCACAAACCGTTCCCCAGCTACCTCTGTAATAGATCTCCACTCTGCCCTCTCCAGACCAGTTTCCCCCAATCAGTCTCAAACGTACTAGTGTATAAGTTGGAGGTAAATTCATGTTATTTGGGTTTTGAAAAACGAGCAAATAAAGCGAAAAAACAAACAGCTCTATTCCTCCATTTGTTATCCTGTCATGCACACAGAATAGCGTAATATCAATGAATGTAAAATGAAAATATGTGTAATCTGCACAGAACTCTGCGATGCCATTCGACTGAAATGTGCAAAGAAGTAGGGGAATACTGCGCAACGTAACAGAACTAGGCTATAGGGATTTAGAATTTGAAGGAAAGAGCAACACCAAGAGACCGGTCAGATCTAAACTAAGTATTACAACAGGTTGTCCATCCAAAATATCGGGAAACGCCAAGTCGCTTTTTTTTTATTTCGCTCATATCTATGTCTATAATTTTGTCTTGGAGAAAACAGCAGGATTTGGATGTCGTCATTCTATATAAAACGTTTAAAAAACAGCACCTGCTTTTTACAGTGGAACCTCTACTCAGAGGACACCCTCGAGTCCAAGTCAAGTGTCCCCTGAAGAGAGGCGCCCCCTGAAAGGAAGTTGGGCTTGAGTTTGTTAATTATTAACCAACAAATAAAATACTTTTATTCTGCTTTGGAATCTGCTGCAGTCATTATTTCAAGCATCTAGATAATGTATCAAAAAAGATCCTGATTAACCTATCTCTGTGATGTGGCGTGTTGAAGTCTCACAAGTGTAATATATCGTTTTCAGGAGAGAGCTGTTGCCATTGTGACTAGTGATCGAGTACTTAAACTTATTAACGAATTTTGCCGTTAGTCAGGTTTTGGGTGCTGATTAGGATGTCCATCCACTGCAGCTACTACAGCAACTACAGCAACTACGGTTACTACACCAACTACAGCAAGTAAAGCTATACTACAGCAACGACACCAACTAAATCAAGTACACCAACTACAGCTACTACAGCACAGCTGACAGCAACTGCAGCAACTACAACAACTACACCGACTACACCAACTACACCTACTACAGCAACTACAAACAACTACACCAACTACAGTCAAGGGACACAAGTATTTGTCACTTTCATAAAAGAAGCGAGAAATTTTTACCCTCGTTGTGCGCAAAGTCAACAGTGAAAACTCGATGCAGGGTGTGCGTTTGGTCAATAAAGGCGGGAAAATTCAGGGGCACCCAACGGCAATTTTCGGAACATTTGTCGTAAAATTTCTTGCTTGCCTGCCTCTCCTAGGATTTTCCAACATCTACAAAATAGTATAATTACCCATTTTAAACGGATATTTGCCCTAAAAAAGGCCACCTAGAATTTTCGAGAGCCTTTTCCTGGCTGAAATTTTCGAAAAGGTAAGTTTTGATCCCTATAATTTTCGGATCACTAAACTTTCAGCTAGGAAATCCGAACAGATGAAAAGTTTTTAGGGGATAAAAATCTGCCTATATCTACCGTTTAAATACTAAAATACGTTCAACAATGCTATGTTAAGTGGTTTTGGACTATATCCTCGTTGGGTGCCCCTGAAAATTGGCAAAAAAAGAAACAATCAAACATCGGACCATGGGTACGAAAAAAATTGCATAGTTCCCGATTAAAGGGAATAAGAGTTGTTTGTGTTTTGACACCTCGTTTATTCAGTCATTTAACATTAACTTCAAGGTAAGGTCACAAAAAAAATGGTCATTTTTTTTTTGCTTCTAAGAATTAATTTTTAGTTCTCATGAGTCGAAAAGGTGCTGAACTCTCTCCACAGAGACCAAAGAATTAATTGTTACTCTGTCGCAATCCGTATAAAACAAAGCGGAACTGTCAAGACTGTTGAACATTCCAAGAACAACTACCACGAGTGTTCTAAGCAAGTATCGAAGGACTGGCACAGTGGAGACTTTGACGCGAAGAGGAAGGAAAAAGAGGTTCACAAATAGAGACAGAAATGCTTTAAAGCGTTTGGTTAAAAGAAATAGACGTCTTACCCTACGGGACATTTACTTCAAAGCTGAACGAGTGCAAAACAAAGACCTTCAGCCAGAAAACCGTGCAAAGGGTGTTGCATTCGGAAGGATATAAAAGAAGGTTAGCGAAAAAGAAAATGGTGGTTCGGCAAGCGACACGAAAAAAGCTAGTCGAGTGGTGTAAAGAGCGAAGAGATAGAACAGCAGACAACTACTGGAAAAAAGTAATATTTTCAGATGAAAGTCAGATTGTTCTCGGTACAAACAACCGTGTTTACATTTGGCGAAAAGACGACAAATTAAGTACAACCCGCATCTTATTTGTTCTCGCTCTGAACGGAAGGTAAGTTTGATGATCTGGGGATGTATTTGTTATGATGGTGTTGGAACTCTGACTGCAGTTAAAGGCAACATTAACTCCGCCAAGTATATTGACATCCTAGACAAGAACTTATGGCCAGTAGTTGTCTGGTATTTTGAAGGAAAAGAATATTTGTTCATAGTGACAATGCGTCTGTTCACAGACCCCACACTGTAGACAATTATAAAGATCAAAACGAAGTAACCTCAATGGAATGGCCAGCACAATCACCAGATTTAAATATAATAGAAAATATCTGGCTCTACATATGAGGAGAGAGCTACAAACGTCGGTGGTAAATATCGCTACCAAAAATCAATGAGTGTGTCGCGGAACATCGAAGTAAATTATATAACAAAACCTTTACCAGTCCATACCTGATCGCCTAGACAATGCAATTAAAATGAAGGGTCATCTCACTAAATATCAAGGTGATTTTAAAGTTAGATTTACCTAATACGGTGTTAAAACTAGCGCGCGCAAAATGTAAACAAACGCCGCCATATTGAAAGTGACGAATTCTTATGACCCTTGACTGTACATCAACTACACCAACTACAGTTACTACACCAACTACATCACCTACAGCTACTACACTAACGACACGTACCAACGAAAACTACTACAGCAACTACAGCAACTACAGACAGTAACTACACCAACTACTCCAACTAACTACAACTACTACTAACACTCCGCCAGAGCAACTACACTAAATACACGTACGGACTAAATCAAATACACCAACTTTACCAACTACACTAACTGTAGTGGGCTAAGTGGGTATGGAATATTTCTATTGACGGTTATCTTGAAGGGAGGTTAATGTCGGGTTTCGGGACCCAGAAGAAGTGTCCCTTTCCCCTGAATAGAGATGTCCCTTCGATAGAGGTAACAAATAAAAATGTTATGTATGTGAACATGCTCCTGGGACTCCCCTGAATTTTCCCTTAAATACGGATGTGTCCCGAGAGGGTCCATTGTAATCGACATTCGGCTCAACTCTAATAAAAACTATAATAATTATAGATTACAATTTCCTTATTATAAAGCTTACTTGAACAGATCACTGATGCATCCTCATTGTGACCACAGTTATGCACACCCCATGGACGATGTCGACAATTCACAATGGAAGTTTCATTCCCCTGACACTGAACATCGTCCAGCCAAATCTTTCCACTTCCTTGACCAAACCGTGCACTGTGTGGAGCACTGAGAGCAGAAGGATACCCAAGTTGACGACAGACAACTCCAGCATCACTTTTATCCCAGTCATCGTCACAAACAGTTCCCCAGGAACCTCTGTAATAGATCTCCACTCTGCCCTCTCCAGGCCCACTTCCTCCAATCAGTCTCAAAGTTTCTAGTGTATAAGTTGGAGGTAAATTCATATTATTTGGGTTTTGCAAAACAAACAAACAAAGCGAAAAAACAAACAACTCTATTCCCCCATTTGTTATCCTGTCATGCACACAGAATATTTTAAATGAAAAACTTTGTGTAATCTGCACAGGACTTCTTCGATGCTATATTCGACTGAAGGGTGCAACTTAAAGGAAGAGGGGAATACTGTGAAACGTAAGAGAAACAGGCTGTAGGGATTTTCATTTTGAAAGAGCAACCATCAAGAGACCGGTATAAGGCCGTCATCTTTCAGCTGCCTCTTCGATGACCATATTATTGAGGAACCAGAACTTAACTTGAATTTCCCCGCGAAACTTTGATTTAAAAATAAACCTGTCCGTGAAAACGCATTGGCATAATGGCCAAGAGAGTTTAATGGCACCGGCAGAGAGGGAATCGTTTAATTTTGCTGGCGTGGATTTCACTAAATTGGTGTGAAGTATTTTTGAAGTATTTTTAAGACAGATCTATCTTATCTTTTGAGTTAAGTTTTTGTTTCATTAAGTCTTGTTTTTGTCCACGTATACTGTTCTCCAGTTTTGATCTTTTGTTTTTACTTGTACTTGAAGTTATTCTTAGCTCGCGAATTTACTTGTCGTTCTTTGGTACTTATCAGTTGCGGCTGTGCGCAGGCTAGTCTATTCCCTAACAATAGCAAACCTGTTGCAGTGTTAGCGATAAGGTATACAATAGAAACTCTTCCGGTCAGCTAACCCAAACATGTCCAGCTTTGGCTATTAAAACCGCTACTATGCTTGAACTAGGAAGCAAGAGTAGGAGAAGAGTAAAGTAGGAGAAGTAGCGTGTGTAGAAGTTGTAAGAAGATTAAGAAGAATAAAGGCCAAGATGTAAATTCAGATTCCTGGTACCTCATCGTGTAGCGAGCGAGTTGCTCGAACACACCCCCACAAAATTTATTTCTAGTGTTGGAATTAAACGGAAACATCATTCCTAAGGCGTCCGCACATTTTAGTCAAGTCCACAAATCAAACCCTCAAAGCAAAAAAAAGCAGAATATTTGCAAAGGCGGCTATTGAATTCTCTCTTGACAACGCTGAATCAAGTTTGAACAACAGTGGCAAATCAAAGGTGAGAGTCCGGGGATGACTCCAAAGCCCCTTATGTATTTCACAAATCATGCTGTGATATATCATTTAGTAGTTAATCTAAGCGATTTGTGACTAGAGGTTTTTGCAAATGGCTGCGTAGGTGAAATTTAATGGAAATACTGTGAACTGCAAGCTAATAAGAGTAGGAAGAATTATCTGTAAATGTGGAACAGTTTCAAATAGTCACTCTCATGTAACGTCTGCCAAGTAATGAATCCTCCTTAGCACAATGTAAACTATTCCAATGGGTCTACAATTATATAGTCAGTAATTTCATTATTTCTAATAATAAATAGAATAACACAAACTAAGTATTATAAATATCGGGAAATTCTCGGGTCCAAGGCAAGTTCACTGTGAAGAGAGGTGTCCGCCCCGAATGGAGGTTGGGCTGGGGTTTGTTAATAATTAACCAAAAAATAAACATTTTTTATTCTGCCTCGGAATCTGCTGCAGTCATTATTTCAAGCATCTAGATAATCTACACAAAAAAATCCTGATTAACTTATCTCTGTTATGTGGTGTGTTGAAGTCTCACAAGTGTAATACATCGTTTTCAAGAGAGATAGTTCATGTTTAGAAGCTGTGACGCTATTGTGACTAGTGAACACTTAAACTTATCAACAAATTTTGCCGTTAGTCAGGTTTTGGGTGCTGATTAAGATGTCCCTTGAACGGAGGTTAAAGCCGGGTTTCGGGACCCAGAAGAAGTGTTCCTTTCTCCTGAATAGAGATGTCCCTTCAATAGATGAAACAAATAAAAAGGTTATATGTGTGAACATTTTCCTGGGACTCCCCTGAATTTTCCCTTGAATACGGAGGTGTCCCGAGAGGGTCCATCGTAATTGACATCCGGCTCAAGTCTAATAAAAGCTATGATAATTATAGATTACAATTTATTTATTATTAAGCTTACTTGAACAGATCACTGATGCATCCTCACTGTGGCTACAGTCATGCACACCCCATGGACGATGTCGACAATTCACAATGGAAGTTTCATTCCCCTGACACTGAACTTCGTCCAGCCAAATCTTTCCACTTCCTTGGCCAAACCGTGCTCTCTGTGGAGCACCGACAGCAGAAGGATACCCAAGCTGACGACAGACTACTCGCGCATCTTTTATATCCCAGTTATCGTCACAAACCGTTCCCCAGGAACCTCTGTAGTAGATCTCCACTCTGCCCTCTCCAGGCCTACTTCCTCCAATAAGTCTCAAAGTTACTAGTGTATAAGTTAGAGGTAAATTCTTATTTGGGTTTTGCAAAACAAACAACTCTATTCCCCCATTTGTTATCCTGTCATGCACACAGAATATTTTAAAATGAAAAACTTCGTCTTTTTGTGTAATCTGCGCAGACCTTCTGTGATAATATTCGACTTAAGTGTGAAAAGGAATAGGGGAATACTGTGAAACGTAACAGAACTAGGCTATAGGGATTTTCATTTTGAAAGAGCAACCACCAAGAGACCGGTATAAGGCCGTCATCTTTCAGCTACCTCTTCGATGACCATATTATTGAGGAACCAGAACTTTACTTGAATTTTCTCGCGTAACTTGATTTAAAAATAAACCTGTCCGTGAAAACGCCTTGACATACTGGCCAAGAGAGTTTACTAGGACCGGCAGGGGGAATCTTAAGGTGTTGGCGTGGATATGTGAATTTTACTAAATTTATTTTTAGTGGTTGTTTTTAAACCAAAGTCTTGTTCCTAAGGCGTTCGCACATTTTTATCAAGTCCAGAAATCAAACCCTCAAAGCAAAAAAAAAAAGCAGAATATGACAACGCTGAATCAAGTTTGAACAACAGTGGCGAATCAATCTATTACCCCATTTGCTATTCTGTCATGCACACAGAATATTTTAAAATGAAAAACTTCGTCTTTTTGTGTAATCTGCACAGAACTTCTGCGATGCTATTCGACTGAAGGGTGCAAATTAAAGGAATAGGGGAATACTGTGAAACGTAACAGAAACAGGCTATAGGGATTTTAATTTTGAAAAAGCAACCATCAAGAAACCGGTGTAAGGCCGTCATCTTTCAGCTACTTCTTCGATGACCATATTATTGAGGAACAGAAATTAACTTGAATTTTCCCGCGAAACTTGATTTAAGAATAAACCTGTCCCTGAAAACGCCTTGACAAATATACTGGCCAAGAGAGTTTAATTGGACCGGAAGAGACGGAATCTTTTAAGATTCCCTCTCTTTAAAGATTCACCTTAAAAAGTGCTGTTGTGGGTTTCACTAAATTTATTTTTAGTGTTGGAATTAAACGGAAGTATTATTCCTAAGGCGTCCGCACATTTTAATCAAGTCGACAAATCAAACCCTTAAAGCAAATAAAAGCAGAATATTTGCAATGGCGGCTGTTGAATTCTCTCTTGACAACGCTGAATCAAGTTTGAACAACAGTGGCAAATCAAAGGTGAGAGTCCGGGGATGATTCCAAAGCCCCTGATGTATTACACAAATCATGCTGTGATATATCATTTAGTAGTTAATTTAAGCGATTTGTGACTAGAGGTCTGGTTTGTGTAAATGGCTGCGTAGGTGAAATTTAATGGAAATACTGTGAACTGCAAGCTAGTAAGAGTGTGAAAAATTATCGCTACATGTGGAACAGTTTCAAATAGTCACTCTCATGTGACGTCTGCCAAGTAATGGATCCTCCTTAGTACAATGTAAACTATTCCAATGGGTCTGCAATTATTTACAAAATAACTAAGATAGTAGGCGCGCTCTGATTGGCCGAGAGGCGTGTTTGCATGAGAGTATGCAAACATTGTTGTGACGTCAAGATGTTTTGCTTTTCGCGCGCTAATCACACAAGCACGAATTTGAAAAAGGTTTTGAGTTGAAAACCTCGACAAGTTTACATTATTTAGCCATTTCCTCGTCGGCTGAAAGTAAAGGTCTCTTGGAAAATAATGTGCAGCGGCAGGCTTATTTAAGGTGGAAAAAATTATCTTTAAAACAGTTTCAAATAACAATTGCACGTTTGAACCCTGCTATCTGCAAAGAAGTGAAGGATCTGCCTTTGCACAATATAAATATAAACATTTGGGTCTTCCGTTGCAAGTAATTTTTTTTTTATAAATAAAATCATACGAACGTACTGAGTATTACATTATTCAGCACCTGGTGGCGTTGAAGAACTTGTAGGTGAAGTAAGCCTTTGACTTGTTGAACTTGTTGAAGTTGGTGTGGGTGGGGTCGTCGTTGGCACTGAGAAAAATATTACGGGAATTTATTAATAAAAACATTTTTATAGTCATTACATGTATATCTCGTGAAGGAAACGAGCCTCGTCGTTTTCTTCATAATCTTCTTTATCATCATCATCATCCTCATCGTTATCGTTATTAGGAACTACACAGTAAGAGTTTTAGGGAGTCATGATTATAACTCCAAAAGTGGAGTAAAAATTTTTTGTAAAGGATAACCCCTTTTATGGGGTTACTTTAACTCCTAATTTAACTCCAAATTTGGGGTCATTTTTACTCCTGGAAAGGATTATAGATTACAATTTATTTATTATTAAGCTTACTTGAACAGATCACTGATGCATCCTCATGGTGACCACAGTTATGCACACCCCATGGACGATGTCGACAATTCACAATGGAAGTTTCATTCCCCTGACACTGAACATTGTCCAGCCAAATCTTTCCACTTCCTCGACCAAACCGTGCACTGCGTGGAGCACTGACAGCAGAAGGATACCCAAGTTGACGACAGACAACTTGAGCATCACTTTTATCCCAGTCATCGTCACAAACCGTTCCCCAGGAACCATTGTAATAGATCTCGACCCTGCCCTCCCCAGGCCTACTTCCTCCAATCAGTCTCAAAGTTTCTAGTATATAAGTTAGAGGTAAATTCTTATTTGGGTTTGCAAAACAAACAAACAAAGCGAAAAAACAAACAGCTCTATTCCCCCATTTGTTATCCTGTCATGCACACAGAATATTTTAAAATGAAAAACTTCGTCTTTTTGTGTAATCTGCACAGAACTTCTGCGATGCTATTCGACTGAAGGGTGCAAATTAAAGGAATAGGGGAATACTGTGAAACGTAACAGAAACAGGCTATAGGGATTTTAATTTTGAAAAAGCAACCATCAAGAAACCGGTGTAAGGCCGTCATCTTTCAGCTACTTCTTCGATGACCATATTATTGAGGAACAGAAATTAAGTTGAATTTTCCCGCGAAACTTGATTTAAGAATAAACCTGTCCCTGAAAACGCCTTGACAAACTGGCCAAGAGAGTTTAATTGGACCGGAAGAGACGGAATCTTTTAAGATTCCCTCTCTTTAAAGATTCACCTTAAAAAGTGCTGTTGTGGGTTTCACTAAATTTATTTTTAGTGTTGGAATTAAACGGAAGTATTATTCCTAAGGCGTCCGCACATTTTAATCAAGTCCACAAATCAAACCCTCAAACCAAAAAAAAGCAGAATATTTGCAATGGCGGCTGTTGAATTCTCTCTTGACAACGCTGAATCAAGTTTGAACAACAGTGGCAAATCAAAGGTGAGAGTCCGGGGATGATTCCAAAGCCCCTGATGTATTACACAAATCATGCTGTGATATATCATTTAGTAGTTAATTTAAGCGATTTGTGACTAGAGGCCTGGTTTGTGTAAATGGCTGCGTAGGTGAAATTTAATGGAAATACTGTGAACTGTAAGCTAATAAGAGTAGGAAAAATTATCTGTACATGTGGAATAGTTTCAAATAGTCACTCTCATGTAACGTCTGCCAAGTAATGGATCCTCCTTAGCACAATGTAAACTATTCCAATGGGTCTACAATTATATAGTCAGTAATTTCATTATTTCTAATAATAAATAGAATAACACAAACTAAGTATTATAAATATCGGGAAATTCTCGGGTCCAAGGCAAGTTCACTGTGAAGAGAGGTGTCCGCCCTGAATGGAGGTTGGGCTGGGGTTTGTTAATAATTAACCAAAAAATAAACATTTTTATTCTGCCTCGGAATCTGCTGCAGTCATTATTTCAAGCATCTAGATAATCTACACAAAAAAATCCTGATTAACTTATCTCTGTTATGTGGTGTGTTGAAGTCTCACAAGTGTAATACATCGTTTTCAAGAGAGATAGTTTATGTTTAAAAGCTGTGACGCTATTGTGACTAGTGAACACTTAAACTTATCAACAAATTTTGCCGTTAGTCAGGTTTTGGGTGCTGATTAAGATGTCCCTTGAACGGAGGTTAAAGCCGGGTTTCGGGACCCAGAAAAAGTGTTCCTTTCCCCTGAATAGAGATGTCCCTTCAATAGAGGAAACAAATAAAAAGGTTATATGTGTGAACATTTTCCTGGGACTCCCCTGAATTTTCCCTTGAATACGGAGGTGTCCCGAGAGGGTCCATCGTAATTGACATCCGGCTCAAGTCTAATAAAAGCTATGATAATTATAGATTACAATTTATTTATTATTAAGCTTACTTGAACAGATCACTGATGCATCCTCACTGTGGCTACAGTCATGCACACCCCATGGACGATGTCGACAATTCACAATGGAAGTTTCATTCCCCTGACACTGAACTTCGTCCAGCCAAATCTTTCCACTTCCTTGGCCAAACCGTGCTCTCTGTGGAGCACCGACAGCAGAAGGATACCCAAGCTGACGACAGACTACTCGCGCATCTTTTATATCCCAGTTATCGTCACAAACCGTTCCCCAGGAACCTCTGTAGTAAATCTCCACTCTGCCCTCTCCAGGCCTACTTCCTCCAATAAGTCTCAAAGTTGCTAGTGTATAAGTTAGAGGTAAATTCTTATTTGGGTTTTGCAAAACAAACAACTCTATTCCCCCATTTGTTATCCTGTCATGCACACAGAATATTTTAAAATGAAAAACTTCGTCTTTTTGTGTAATCTGCGCAGACCTTCTGAGATAATATTCGACTTAAGTGTGAAAAGGAATAGGGGAATACTGTGAAACGTAACAGAACTAGGCTATAGGGATTTTCATTTTGAAAGAGCAACCACCAAGAGACCGGTATAAGGCCGTCATCTTTCAGCTACCTCTTCGATGACGATATTATTGAGGAACCAGAACTTTACTTGAATTTTCTCGCGTAACTTGATTTAAAAATAAACCTGTCCGTGAAAACGCCTTGACATACTGGCCAAGAGAGTTTACTAGGACCGGCAGGGAGAATCTTAAGGTGTTGGCGTGGATATGTGAATTTTACTAAATTTATTTTTAGTGGTTGTTTTTAAACCAAAGTCTTGTTCCTAAGGCGTTCGCACATTTTAATCAAGTCCAGAAATCAAACCCTCAAAGCAAAAAAAAAAGCAGAATATGACAACGCTGAATCAAGTTTGAACAACAGTGGCGAATCAATCTATTACCCCATTTGTTATTCTGTCATGCACACAGAATATTTTAAAATGAAAAACTTCGTCTTTTTGTGTAATCTGCACAGAACTTCTGCGATGCTATTCGACTGAAGGGTGCAAATTAAAGGAATAGGGGAATACTGTGAAACGTAACAGAAACAGGCTATAGGGATTTTAATTTTGAAAAAGCAACCATCAAGAAACCGGTGTAAGGCCGTCATCTTTCAGCTACTTCTTCGATGACCATATTATTGAGGAACAGAAATTAACTTGAATTTTCCCGCGAAACTTGATTTAAGAATAAACCTGTCCCTGAAAACGCCTTGTCAAACTGGCCAAGAGAGTTTAATTGGACCGGAAGAGACGGAATCTTTTAAGATTCCCTCTCTTTAAAGATTCACCTTAAAAAGTGCTGTTGTGGGTTTCACTAAATTTATTTTTAGTGTTGGAATTAATCGGAAGTATTATTCCTAAGGCGTCCGCACATTTTAATCAAGTCGACAAATCAAACCCTCAAACCAAAAAAAAGCAGAATATTTGCAATGGCGGCTGTTGAATTCTCTCTTGACAACGCTGAATCAAGTTTGAACAACAGTGGCAAATCAAAGGTGAGAGTCCGGGGATGATTCCAAAGCCCCTGATGTATTACACAAATCATGCTGTGATATATCATTTAGTAGTTAATTTAAGCGATTTGTGACTAGAGGCCTGGTTTGTGTAAATGGCTGCGTAGGTGAAATTTAATGGAAATACTGTGAACTGTAAGCTAATAAGAGTAGGAAAAATTATCTGTACATGTGGAACAGTTTCAAATAGTCACTCTCATGTGACGTCTGCCAAGTAATGGATCCTCCTTAGCACAATGTAAACTATTCCAATGGGTCTACAATTATTTATAAAATAACTAAGATAGTAGGCGCGCTCTGATTGGCCGAGAGACGTGTTTGCATGAGAGTATGCAAACATGGTTGTGACGTCAAGATGTTTTGTTTTTCGCGCGCTAATCACACAAGCACGAATTTGAAAAAGGTTTTGAGTTGAAAACCTCGACGAGTTTACATTATTTAGCCATTTCCTGGAAAGGAGTTCTTTTAACTTCCAGTCTGGAGTTAAAATAACTACGAAAATGGCGTTATTATTGCTCCTTACTTGGGTTGTTTTTATTCTTTTTGGAGTTACTTTAACTCTGAATGTGGAGTAAAAATTTTAGGTACAGATAACTCCTGTTTTGGGGTGATTTTTACTCCGCAAATAACCTAAAATAACTCCCCCAAAAAATACCTCCACTGCAAGGAGTTAAATTAACCCCACTAGAGAAGTTATTATAACTCCTTGAAAATTACTGTGTAGTATACCTGAAAAAGATGACGTGATGCTTGGTCTTGGACTCGTTGGATAACGTGTAGGAACCAACCAACCAAACAATCCAACCAAAAAAGCTAATCTGCATGTAATGTTGTGCAAAGTTATGTTCACACTAAGTGCCCCGTGTTGAGACCTGTGCCCGAGAATGATACTCGGAGTATGATTCTACCTGGATACCAAAGTGAACGCAGTTCACGCCAAAGTTCACGCGTTGCTGCTTGCAAGAACGAAATGCAGACCTTTGGTATTCGGGTGCTTAAAGGGGCATTTGTACGATCATTAAGTGAACGTGTCTTCCGCCAGTTCCAAGGCAGGTTTTGACAAGCATCAGCATTGTCATTATTGATTATAAAAGCATCCATTACAGTCATTACACATAGTGGAGTTTCTGGCTTCAACGCGCTTTTCCTCTCGGAACGTTTATTGTTCAACTTTCGCTAAATTCCACTGATTAATAGAAGGGAACGTTCATATTCTGTATTAAAAAATTAGTTATAGACACATTTCTAGGAAGTGTGCATAAGATATGGCATGTTCAAACCTTCTACAATCACACATTAAGCAAATCTTATATGCTATCTAGTTGAATTTTTACTGGGCTGCCCGGCAAGCCCAGTCATAAATTCGGTTTTCGGTCGTCTGTGCAGAAAAACGGCCTCCCGGGGGAGGGAAGACACGAGGGTCTGGTACCGAGAAACTATGTTCTCACAAGTGGTTTCATATTCAGGGCGGAAAAACGTAATGAGCATGCGTGAACTTTTTGCCGAGATCCCCTGGCCGGGTTTGAAAAAATGGCGGGATTTCAAATATTTTGCTGCCTAAAAATAAAATGTTTCCACTCACAACCTGGAAAGAACAGGCAATTTGTCTTCAAAAGTTGCAAGCTGTGGTTATAACCTTGTCGTTACTCAATTTTCTCGAAGAAAACCTCATTGTAAAACGGAATTTAACGACATTAATTTCCTTGCGTTGTACTGGAAATGTGCATGCGTAGGTCCGATTTTTTTCAAGATGCATTCACAAAATGTGTTCATATAAGGAAGTTCCTGGATATATAAGGTCCAGAGCTCCACTGTGGACACAAAACAGCATATCTTTGGACAGTGATTTGCCCAAAAAAATTAACGCTTGCCCACAATGTGTTTGAAGTCACTGAAATTTGTCGCACTCGAGCTGATATTTTAAAACCCTCGCTCGATCGGACACTCGTAGTTTCGCAGATCACTAAAATATAAACAAAATCCTCAATGTAGAAGCTAAGTTATTGCGTTGATATGTGGGCAGAAAAAGGTCAATCTTTATCTAGTAAAATCTTCCCAAAAATCGGTTTCAAAGCAACTATAGTTTTTTAAAGTTGCTCGTTTCGCGAAGATATATAAATTTTGCTTTGTGTTGTCAAGTCAAACACGCATAACATCTGTCAAAAACCTACGCGTAAGTAGGATTTCCTTCAACTGTTCAAACAAAGTTAAAGTTACATTATTTCAAAAAGTTATTGCTGACAATGAAGAAATGAATTTTCTGAGCGAAACAACCTTCCTAAAGATCTTAACAGCAAAAGATCAGTTACAACTTGGCAGCCAAGCCATGATTCACCATTTAGCCATTTTCAATAAGCTTAACTGGTCCATGCGAGGGTCTTCGTTTAAGCAAATTAAACTCAGCCGATTATTAGAAAATACAGAAAATTGCACATAAGGGTTTGTTTTGCTCGCCTCAGTCAAATCCAGCTGCAGCAATTGTTTACGGGAAAAGAGTCAATTGTTTTGAAGTCACTGCCGGCAGTTGACGTTCTCTACTTTACAGCGAGCGAAAAGGACAATTTGCGTACAGAAAGTTATTCTTATAAAGAACAGAAACTTTCACAGTGCACTGGAAAACAAAACTTTGTAATGAAAAATGAGAAAAACTCTGACTATTATTACTTGAACAATAGAGAAATGATCTTGACTAAGCTTGCTGGCCTTCTATTTCCGAGAAAATTTAATAAGCGCACAAGTTTGTTCACTCCGATGCGTTATATCAAACAGCAATATGGTCCTTTGACTGGAGACAAAGATAAAGCTGGTTCTGCAAAGGTAATAAATCTGGGCATGTAAAAAAGTAACCGTAACTACTAATAACAGAATACAAGCGGGTGCTAATGCAACCCGGCGAAATCAACTCATAAATTAATCGGATGCACAATGAGAAAAAATACTCGCCTCTTTAGAAATGTTCAAAACCTTTTATTCCACCTCAGACTGACGGAATGATACGTTTTTCCTTTAACATTGGTTGTTCTGAATCCAAAGTAATTTTCAAGCGACGAAAAAAAGCAAACATGTCAAATAAAAATGCTTTACAGGGAGCAAACGTTCGCACCTCGTGCATTTCACTCAGAACTCCAGCAACAAACAAGCACAGTCAAGACACAGAAAATTCCCGCCTTGAGCCTGCGATAAGGGATGCGCAGAAGCTTGCGCAGAACGTTTTTCCGCCCTGAAGGTTTCATATGACTTTCTCTTGCACGGACTCTTGCACGAATACTTTTTGTACCTCGTCTCCGCCCCCCCCCGGGAAACCCAGAAGGCGTTGCGCACCTAAAGAAGGCTATTTGCGTTGTTCGAAGCGATTCGATCATAGTAGTCACTTTATAAGTTTTGTCATTCTTCGAGTTTAAGTCAGTTGATGATGTTGGCGCTGGGAAACTCAGAGAAATGCTCACGTTGCATACAAACCCACACGCCGTTCACGGTAGGTTCATACTAAAAGATGACTGTGAGCGTCCGGTTTGGAACGCTGGGGCAGTTTCGTGAACTCCAAGAGAGAATTATCGTTCGATGTAGTACATGAGCAATTAATAAGCACAATTTATGAGCAAAGTGTTTCACCAGTTGACGACACTGTGGTTGAAGACTTCACTGTAAGCTGTCGTACTCACTGAAGCGAACAACTCAGTTGCCGACAAATGTCAGATGAATCCTGATGTTAAGAAATGAACGTCCATGAGCGAGGGACGTGACAACTTTGCCATATTAAAAGACTGGCTTTTCCTTTTAA